GCCTTTTGGGGTAAAGTCCAAGAGTAAAATAGTATAGGCTCAGGCCCAAAGCGGACGATATCATACCATGTGGTGGAGTGGGTCGTTACATAAATCTATAATGACACATCAGATTTAAACAAATATATACATATACGCATTACGGTTGGAGATGCTCAATATGTTAAAACACCACTTTATATAAAATATACACTGTCACCTATAATGTGTAAGTAATTTTTTTTTTTTTTTTAATTTTTTTTATCTCCAGCAGTATGTTAAGATACACTACAATGTCATCAATGTGTAAAATTGTTATGCATTTTACACAGCCATATCATCAAATTTCATTTCGATCTTCTCCCTTTTTCTCATTCCATTAACGAATCAATCTTATATTAAGTGAGTTTGTAAAAGTTATATAGGTCCGGCATGACACATGGTTGGTTGTTATTGACAGATACATTTTTTACACAAAAGATATAAAATAATGGCTGACGCTAAAGATAAGTAGTCCAAATTTTTTATGTAAATCTACAATGACACATCAGACTTATACAATACACACACACACACCCGCTAGAGATGCTCTAAAATATTCATAAATTTTCTATTTCTTTTTTTTTTTCCTTGCTTTTTGCATCTAACCAAACGAAGCCTAAAGGAAAATAATTGCATTTGAAGACATAAATCTATATCTATATCTATATTGGAGTATTACTTATATAACTTATTTGCTAGTAGAAAGTATTGAAATTTAATAAATGGAAATCTAATTAGAGAAGGAAATATATAATATTAAAAATTAAACTACTAAAATTCAATAAAATAAAATATAATCAAAGAATGAAATTCTACTAATAATAAAACAAATATTTATTGAATTCAATAAAAGAAAATCTAATTAGAGAATGAAATAATAATAATAATAATAATAATAATATAGTATTAGGAAATACTGAAATTCAATAAAGGAAAATATGATTAGAGAATGAAATATATAATAATAAAAAGCATATTTAATAATATAGTATTAGGACATACTACTACTAATATTAATATAGTAGTAAAAAATCTAATTAGAGAAGAAAATATATATAATTAATAAACTGCTAAATTTTAATAATAGGAAATCTAATTAGAGAATGAAATTAATATATAATATTAAAAACTTATTTATTTAATTCAATAAAAGGAAAAATAATTCGAGGAGAAATACTAATACTAATATAGTAGTAGGAAATACTTAAATTCAATAATTCTATATCAAAATATATCAATTATTAAATTTCAATATTTTAGTGCATTAATTTATTTAATAATATAGTAGTAGGAAAAGCTAATAATAATAATATAGTGGTGGGAAATATGAAATTCAATAAAAGCTAATCTAATTAAAGAAGAAAATATATAATATTAAAAAATTTATTTATTTAATTCAAAAAAGGAAATCTAATTAGAGGATAAATATTACTAATAATAATAATAATAATAATATAGTAATAGAAAATACTGAAATTCAATAAGGAAATCTAATTAGAGAAGAAAATATAAAATTTATTCAATAAATACATAACAACAATTATATATCAAAATATACCATTAAAATCCTATACTAAGAATTATATATGCAAAATTATTTTATACTTAATTTTTTATAATTCATTTTTAATTTTTAGAATGTTATTTATTTCAATAAATAATATGATTTTGTAATATTATTTATATGTAATAAACAATAATACAAAATTATTCTTATATATATATTTAATCCTTCATAATTTTCTAGAGCTCTATTAATAAATTTTTTTATTTTTTATTTTTTATTTTTTATTTCAACAGTAATCCTAAACAGACTCTAATAATATAGTACTAGAAAATACTTTCAATAAAAAGAAATCTAATTAAAAAAAAAATGATATGCATAAACATCAATTCAATACCAGTTTGTAGGACCTACAATCGAACAACCAATTATCACACGTCAATAATGAGATGCTATTTTCTATTATAAAGAAAAATCGTAAATAATAAGTTCATTGATCAAAGCTAGCAGCACTACAAGTTTCGAATTTAATTTGAGATGCGTAGTTTGAATCTGTCTTTAATTCAGCAATCCCAAAATCCCAAATTTTCTTTTTTATCTTATCAAATAAAATAGGAATAAAGAATTTTTTATTTTTTTTCATACTCTTTCATAACTTAAATATTGTTAAGAGCTTTTTGGTGTGAACACTAAATTGGACTCGAGATAGATAAGATAAAATCAGAAATACTCATCATCTCATACGACTCTCTAGATACATAATCTAATGTTATGAAAGAAGAATAGAAAATTTTTCTCATATGGAATTCGAAGTGCCGAAGGCATGAATTGCCTAATCGAATAATTTTTGATTAGTTATTTATACTTATCACAAATAAGAATCATTCTGATTAGTTATTTATACTTATCACAAATAAGTGAAGGACTTCAGTTCTTTATTTGTTATATTAATGACCAATTAAAAATAATAGATTTAGTAATTAAAGAATTCCACTTCTTTATTTGTTACATAAATAACTAATTAAAAATAATAAATTTAACAATTCATTGTACCTATTAATTAAAAATTATAGATTTAGTAAGTGAAAAATTCTATTTTTTTATTTGTTACATAAATAACCAATTAAAAATAATAAATTTAACAATTTACTGTACCTATTTCGTGTAAAAATAATTTTCCTATGGCGAATTAGCTTTTTTCTCTCAAATAAAAACAAACTCCATTGGTGCCAAGCTTGAAGGAATGCTGATTAGAAGACAAAAATATCGTTTACTTTGATATATATTACCTTTAGTAAAGTGTTATTATAATTAGACTGTGCTGCTTCCAAATATATAATTTGTGTTTCTAATAAGCTCTCATATTTTAGCAAACTAATAAACCTTAAAAAAAACAAAAAAACAAAAAAAGAAAGAAAAAAGAACTAACTAAAACTGAATTTTCTATTGAAGAAAGATGTGAGAATAACAATCTCTTTAGAAAGAAGAATTTTTTGTCTCGTAGTATGCTCCGTCCCTTTTACGAACCTTTTGTTATTGGATTAGTCATACACTTCACATGTTTTAGCGTTTCATTTCACATGGCATCATTAAATAATACAAGTCTTGGATAACAATCTACAATGCACTAGAACACCTTTGTTGACAATCCTTTACTCCGACATCATCTAGGGTTCTTTGAACAATGTGATATCTCACACCGGGTAAATCCTTAACTTTTTACCCTCCTACTAAGACTACAAAATGTTCTTGTGAATAATGGCCAATACCGGGTTTATAAGCAGTGATTTCAAATTCAGAGGTTAATCGTACTCTGACAACTTTATGTAAGACAGAGTTTGGTTTTTTGGGGTGATGGTGGAAAAGTTGACAGATAAATCATCTTTACTGTCACTCTACATAATCGCACATGACAACCTTCCTACGAGAGATCTTTTCTTAACATCAAACATGTTGATACTAGATCGAAATGATAACTCCAACAATTTCTTTGTTATACGTTCTGATCGCCAACTCATACTTGATCCAGTTGTATTTTATTGGAATTGAGAGAATAACTCAAATGAATTTGACTTTACTCTTTTTGTTTACGAAATAACTCTCATATGTACATGCCAGATCATGAATTAGGAACTGCATCCAATTTCCAAAAAAATCCCAATTGTTGAGTTCCTCGATCCTGTTTCCCATTCCCGGAATAGTCGAAGCCATACCCAATCGAAAAAGGATGTTATCCAAACTCATTTCAAGTAATTGTAATAAAACCTGGCTTGCTGACCCCTTGGCTTTTTCAACGATACGGACCATAATGAAAACGCAATTTTTGTTTTTCTTCTAGACGAATACGATCTCATTTGGCTTCTCGTTCAATTTTTTTGAAGTCATTGGATCATTTTTCTCATTTGAGAATCTCCTCCCTTCTTTACTCCGTCCCGAAGAATAAATCAAATTGGGTTTCTTTCTTTACTTAATTTTATTGTATTTGTGTGTGTATATATATAGACCCGTCTCCCTAAAACTACAATTATATACATAGATGGCTAAAAAATTAGAGTTCTTATTCACAAAAAAGGGGCCACCCCAAAGCATAGGTGAAACCGTGAAAGAAATCATGAAAAAAAAAAGATGGAGATAGTTAAGAGAGGATATTTAAAACGAAGATTCTATTTTTTTTTTTTTTTTTCTTTCTATCATATCCTATATCTCAAGGAAATTGTTTTCACTTTACATAAGTTGCTAAATCATTACTGACATCATTGGCCACCTCATTCGAATTATTTTCATGATACAATAATTTGTAATGTTCACCATTTTTCACGGGAGAACCAAGATATATACTGAATAATTTTCTAAAATCTACAATGATTTACATAACTTAGGTGTGGATTGATGAAGAAGAAGATGTATTAGATTTCTATTTATGAAAATCTTGAATTATGGGTAGAGAAAGGGGAAGATTTCATTCTCTTTTTCAAATTATTCCCATTGCAAATAAAGTTAGCCCTTAATTGCAGCCCTAACCAAAGGAAAATAATTAAACACGATTTTTCATTAGTAGGTTCACATTTTCACTTTTGAAAGCATCCATTTTCATTATAAAAAATAAAAAAGAAAAAGACAAAAGAAAAAGAACAATTAAGGACTAATTATCACTATATCCATGTTGAAATTAAGTAGTAATTACAAATAAGGGAAGGCCATAATGAAACATTGAAATACACACATATATGCTCATGGAAGAAGGAATTATAAACTGGCCTATCCCCTGACCACAATAATGTTGCAATTGACATGATTGAAAATGCAATATAATTTCTATATCAAAACTTACTCTTTCCATCAAAACCCAATACCTTAGATTCACATGAGAGCACACCAAACCTGGCCTTCCATCAAGAATTTATTTAGCACTTTGTGCAAAGTTTAATTTCTCCAAACTGGCCCCACCAAAACATGCATGCATGCATATATGCTTCTACGTACCAAATTTCTTCTTTTTATTTTTCTTCTTACTCGGCTTCCCGCAAAATAAATTACATTCATACCCGCACGCAATCCCAAAGCACGAAAGCAACCCTCCCCCAGAGCGCCTCCGCGACCGTTCCCGCTCCCGATTGGACTTCAACGGTACATAATCCGTCGTCCACTGCACGATCTCCGGCTTTCCCCCTTTCTCACTTTCACCCCCCATTGTCCAATCATCCAACACCGAGCTCCCAACTTCGTTCCCCCTCGTTGCGTACAACCCTTTATGCAGTTCTGCAGCCACCTCCGATGGCAATGGTCGAATATACGAGCAAACTGACCCAGTTTTTGACCTAACATTCTCTCGTACCCCAAAATCCGATCCAGTTCTCGTTGATCCGTTGCTCAACGACTCTTCCCGCGTTACATAATCTTCGATAACCGACATGGTTTGGTCGCTTAGAGAGCGCCATAATTGCTCCCGCTGGCCAAACATTTCGTCCCTTTCTAGCAGGCTTTTTCGATCCTCGTGCCCGAAAGAACTGCTAGAGAGAGGCATGCTACGCATTCTACTATCGAGGAGATTAACCCCGACATTTAGGGTTCCTTGCAGGACACCCGAGGGGCGGGTGACCTGAAGTGGGACCACCCGGGTGGCGGAATTATTCTTGAACCACGAAGGTGGCGGAATGAGGTCGTTGACTAGGATGCGGACGCTCCCAATGGGGATGTCTCTCAACCAGGAGACCGAGTAGATGTCGATGGTGACCACGGCGATGTCGGAGCTGAGGAACCGGTCGTCCACCGGGAACGTGAACTTGTCGTTCCATGTGGGGTTGTTGTGGCCGAGGCGGTCGACGCGGGTGGTGAATTTCCGGTCAGGATAGACCCATGCAACGGCATAGGTGCGTAATTGTTTGGAGACCGGAGCTAGGTCTTGGGCGGATATGACACTGAGTTGGAGGAGTTTTACAGGGGGACGGAAATTCATTGTGGTGGTGGGTCAGATTCCCCGTCCGTTGGGAGGACGACGACGGCCGGGGGCTGGCTTTTGCATCAACGGGAGATAGAGAGACAAGGGACATAGAGAGAGAAAATAATATTTTTGTTGGTAGTTTGGATTGGCAGTTAATCGTGTTCTAAAAATGGAAAATGATTGCATGATTTTGCACCACCATTTGGTAAGAACTCTTTATTTTTATTTTTATATTGTGTGTGTGTATATATATATATATATATTTGCTTTTGTTTTATTATTTTTTAAATTTGGCCGGGTTCTAGATAAAGAGTCACTTCCCGGTAAATTCAATTTTTTTTCTCTCAATGTCTCATGTAGACAGGGTCCAATATTTAATAATGTAGTATAAAGCTAGTAAGAAATCATTGGATTTATCTATATATATATATATATAAATTTAGGCTGTCCAAAAAGTAACTCGATATATTTATACTGCAAAAAGACTAGATAAATCAAAAAATAATATTGTCGTCTAAACAATTCACATAAGATATGACAATGTTACTATAATATATCCAAAAGAATAGTGCCTTAACTTTCACATCATATTAAGCCTAACACTGTATTTAAGAAATTTAATGGTGTGTTGATAAATTTCTTAGTCAAAATTTGATTATTGAGTTGTAGTTGTTATTGTTTTTTTAGGAGGTTTCGAAGTACTCGAATGTCAAGTTTGAATTGACCATCACAAGTTAGTTTGAACGAATTTGGATCAACAACACTTAGGTCACCTAATTAGTTAACGTTGTGAGGTCATTGTGTGAGTAATTTTTTTTGTTAATGAGAATAAAAAATGTTGTTTTACAACAAAAAATCTTTCTAAATATTTTTTAAAATAAAATAAAAAATTTAATTGTAAGGGTATTAAAATAAGTTATTGGGCTTGACTGTTTGAAAGCAATATCACTAAGAGAATCCGGGTACAACAATAAGTATATAATATGAGGCTAAAGTAGAAAATGAGAGAACTGGTGCGGTGGGCAGTAGAGTGCCATGTCATTGAGCCCCACCCTCATTTCTATGTTGTCATTTTTTGGTATAGTTTTTGAAATATGTTTTTTTATTTTTTTTTTTGTGGGTCCCACTTATTTCTCTATTTCCCTCATCATTCATTCTAATTAAAAAATAATAAAGTAAATTATGAGATATGAGTTGCACACCATATAACATAATTGATAAAAAAAAAAAATAAAAAATAAAAAAAAAGGAAGTAGATAGCCACGTTAGTGATGAATTTTTGTTTTTTGTTTTTTTTTTTTTACCTACTAATTTTGCGTTTTAAAATTATATACTTAATTTTTTAAGTTTACCCACTAAATTAGAGAAAAACTCTACTATTGCTTTTCACGGTATTCTTTTATTAAACATTCTCACATACTCTTTTATTAAACATTCTCACATACTTTTTTAAGTCCTGGCCATGTCCGTACACTTTATTAACCGGATGCCCTAACATCATCATCCATTATGGTGAATTGAGATTTCCAAATGAGAGATTATTAACCAAGAAAAACCTAATTATGCAGGTTATATTGATGATATGATATCACCAACTTATTAAATAGTTACACATAGTGATAAGACCAACTAAAATAAAATATTTTTACTTATGTGACATAATACAATTGGTTAATGTCATTAATAAAAGGTACAGTGAAGTCTTTTTCATCTAAACCGTTGATTCTGACGAATGACTAATTGACATGCAAATAACAAACTAAATAAAGCTTACAAATTAAGCAAATAGTTGAATAAAGGTACACTACTTATGTTTCAACCAACCATTGGCCATTGGTCCCAACACAAGCAAAATGTTAAATAAAACTGCCATAAATCTTACACACTTAGGTGTTAAATGGTGATTGGGTCGGGACAATGTCCCTAGTAATAATTTCTCATTTCAAAAGCTCAAAGGGACTGCAGCTTTTAGACCATACAAGTGTGTTTACACCATATATTGTAATCTAAACAGGGTATTCTCTCCATGATCAACCATGAAATTCTTCCTAATTTTTAATTAAAAGAAAATACATCCATTTAGAGGAAAAATAATAATATATAAGAACAAAAATATTTCCATAAACTTCGGCTAAGGCTACCACAAGAGGATGCAAAAATAGTATCATCTTCCTAACAAGGCAGAATATTTTTCATTCATAAAATTTTTCAGTACGAAGACACAAATTTACATGGGCTTTGATACCTGCCAATAAGCAGGAACTTTTCAACATATACCTACCAAAAAAGAATGTATTTTGTTCAAGAAGAGATTACACTTAGAAAAACCCTTTTACAAAAAAAACAGCCAATTAAATTACATTCAGCCTTATATAAACAAAAATGATTGGTGTTGTTCAATAGATCACCACCTCACCTTGCTGATCTGCCATTATTGAGATCCTCCCAGCTTATCTCCTGGGCACATTCTCCACACACAGTACTGCAACCTACTTTTGTGCCCTGGCTCCTGAGCGTCAGCAAGTGCGATAGGTTTGTACATTTCCGTTGAACCGAACGATTCCTCAAACTGCCTTTGGATTGCATTGGGTTGGTGTTTTCAGGCACAGGACCGGGTATGCTTGAAACTGCTGGCTTTTGCTCGGGTGCAGGTTCATCAACCACAACTCGCTGCACTTCCTCCCACTGGAAAGTTCTTCGGTATACTTCCCAAGCCATGTCTTGTTCCTCTTTCGATAGCTTCTCCTCTTCATTCTCTTGCAAAAGGGTCTCATGTTCATGGCAATTAGCAATCCATCTGAACATAAGACAACATATTAGCTATTGCACTTTTCGGTTTAATGTGTTTAATATGGAACATTGAACTTTAGCATGTAGTCACAAATAGTTTAAACAAGAATCAAGAAGAAATGTGAACTACTTGGATCTTGGAGAACATTCCACAAGTTAAATGGGTGGGTAATCAGTGATGTCTTCATGAGATTTACAAGGTCAGCTTAATAATACTCTCAAGGTACAATTATTAAGATACTAAAACTTTATTCCGGATTGTGCAAAAAGTTTTGATTTTCTTAGGGCTGTTTCATAGGGAGGTGTGTAGAAGACATGCTTGACGAATACAAACCGAAAACCAAGATGAACTTAAAAGGCACCTCTAAATGTGAACGAGAGTGCAGATCTATCAAGAAAACTGACATTGTACAGCAAAAGGGAGTGCAGATCTATCAAGAAAACTGACATTGTACAACAAAATGAAGTCAATACGAGTGTCTACAAGTCACTAGTACTTGAGCTCACAACAAGGAGATCATTGACTCTCCAGTTTGTCCAGAAAAATGAAAGACAACTGCTGAGAATCAGCAAGTTCCATTAGGTATTAGGAAAAGTAGATATGTGAAATCGCATGTGAAAAGTGTTACAGCAGTCAGTTGGCAAAAGAAAATGATCATTTGATAATAATTTATTGATCTCTGGGATGGACAGTGACACCAACAACTTCTCCTTTTCTGCGGCTACATCAAGGAAAATATGCTCGTCTCTTGGTGTAATTCATGTCAACACTTGACCTCTAACTATAAAAGCTGGGAAGGATGCTGTTGGGTGGTGGAAGGGAGGGAGTGAGGCTGTTCAAAGGAAAGAAATACGAAAACAAAAAATCTAGGGTAAAGCAGTCAAATAATTGGTTCCTGTATCCTGTACCTATCCCAGATGTAAGATGCATGAAGTTAAAGGTCAAGATGCTACCTATCTATTAATTAATATGCCTAATGAGACGCAACAATTACCAACAGTCAAAAATAAAGTAGCACTTGATATTACTTTTATTTATTTATTTTTTTGTGGTAAGCTCACTTAATATTACATTGCAATATCACATTCCTCCACCAAAAGCTACTCAACCACCTTGCCCAAGAAACGTGATTTTTTCAAACAAATGGATAAACTGTTTCATAAACATTGTACAACAATACACAGATAAAAAGTGCTTCGTATCCAATAAAATGTTGCGCCGTCCAGACATAAATTTGCTCTCCTTATGTCACATGTACTTAGTGTCTAGAGGCTAGGTGTTCAATCCATCCGAGATTTTAATTTTCGGTCACAAGGAAAGTGACTTAGAAAATGGGAGTGCTCTGTGATTCAAAATGCAAAGAGTAGGATAAGGTTGGACACATAAATAGCATTTGAGTATTGTGGAGGGAATTGCAATTGTTAAGTGGTCTGTGGAGTTTTGTAGAAATTAATAAATTATTAGAGATTTGAAAATAAACTTTGTATCAGAAGTAGCAAAATCTAAGACGTATATTTGCACAGTTATTGTGGCACCCCTTTGTTTATGGTGGGGGTTGTGGCGTGAATGGAACCGGCTATCTTTTGATGATGCTGAGGTTCCATCTTGGGTGCTTAAGTTCTACATTCTTTATGTATTTGGGTTCAGGGTAGGAATTGTAAATCAATAGGGATTAGGGGTTATAGCATCTTTTGTGGATACCTTAATTGTATAGCGGACCCTCTTGGCCTTGCTATTCTTTGGGCTGCGCTCCCTTTTGAGCATCTTTTAGTGAAATCTTGCTTTGGAGACTACAAAATGGCAAAAAAAATTGTACGCACACCTCATAGATATGTTTTGCGCAATAAATGTGTTCAGACCCATGTCCTCCACGGTCCAACCCACTACCCTTAGAACTGCCTGGTCAAGTTGACGTGTAATCTAGAGCAAAGGGAACTATAGTATTTTCTTTAACTTTAGTATATATGCAATCCCATTAGACAAGCCACAAGGATCACGTGATTGCGACTCCTTTTGTCTAATAAGAGAAAGCTAAATTAATCACTAAAAAATAGAACATTCAAGGAAAATTCAAACCAGGACAACAGCCCACATATAAGTATTACAGTACAGAAGAAGGTTGCGTAAAAGCATTCACACCAAGGAAGCTGGCATTAATTATCCTTTTCAGGACTCAGAATTAAGGAGTCAGAAAATTTCAGGAGGCAATTCTGATGCAATAATATATGCAACTTCACCAATTTGGCACTTCTTATTCAAACGACTCCAAATAAATTTTATCAAGAAGATGCTAAAACTCACCTAACCATACATTAATACTCTGCAAAACTCACCTAAATAAACTATGGGTAAAATTCATTTACACCCCCCGTGTTTTGTCAATACATCAAAGAGACCCCCCTACATTTGCAAATCTTCAGTCACACCCCCTACTTTTTCTGACACACATCAGTTTCCCCCCTCCTTTAACGGTCAAAGCTGGTCAAACAAACTTTTAGCTGACATCAACAAGAAAATAAATAATAATACCGAAATTGCCCTCCAATGGTCATGTTTGGCTACAAAGACTATATACCACATGTTTGGCTACAAAGACTATGATTCAGTGCACCGTCATCCTCAAGATTCAATACCTGTGAATCTCTGCTTGCCGTTCAGTCCTCGCTCATCAGAATCGGGCCACCATCACCACCCAAAATCACAGAACTGTCCGCTTCACACAGGAAATTTAGTGCTCACCGTGGGTTCATTCCCACCAAACAATTTCGCTGGTGTTCTGTTCTCCTCTGCCGGTTCGGTCCCTTGCTCAATCGTCTCTTCATCACCATCATCTCCTTTCATCTACGTAGCACACTCTTTGGTGGCCATCCCGTCATCTTCCTTGCTCGCCAGCAAGAACTTCACTGCCGGTCTCGTCATCCTTGCACTTCATTGGCACGTTGGGAAAGCTTCAGTGACCAGAAAGTTTCAGTTTTGGAAAGCAAGAAACTCCGTCATCGGCAACACCGACAAAAGCCCGAAGCTTCGTCAACATGCTATTCAGTCAGACCCATCAGTTCCGGTGTATTCAGTCCGAACAAATAACACCGGTGAGCATTTCCAACCGAACAACGACCTGGATGATCCAACGCGAACAAACGGCAACTGCAATGGGTTGTAGAAAAAGTCTCAGCCATGGGTTCCAGCTACAGCAATTTGAAATGGCTTTTGCCGAGGGTCGTAGGAGGAGATTTAACTGGGTTTAGCTGTTTTGAACTCCAGCGACGCTACAAGCTTCGCTGGACTGAAAGCACGCTGTCGGGTCGTAGGAGGAGGTTGAGAGAGGTAGTGGTGGTTGAAGAAGAAGAAGACAGTGGTGGGAAAAGCTGGCGCTGATGGAAGAAAGAGCTAGTGGTGGAGATGAAAGAGGAAAAACCATCACTAGCGATAGCCACCGACGCCGACAAATCTACACCACCGGGCCGCCGCTTCAAGCACCACCGATCACTTCTCTCTGAGCCAATATCAAGCACCACTGACCGGAAAAAGAGAGGAGAGAAAAGGTCTCTGCAACGACCAAATTGCGTCCCAAATCATCTTCCTCGGCCACTGTAGTCACCTAAACCTTGTCACCGTTGAGTGATCGTGTGAGTACCTCTTTTTGTTTGTCGTCATTCTTAGCCTAACCGTTGTTACTCAAACTATGAACCATGACCCAATCGAGGCTCATGACGACCAGTTCCTGCCATTGATTTTACAAAAATAATCTTCTCCTGTTTCGAGTGAGTTTTACAGAGATTAGAGAGAGAAGTTGGGTGGTTGCTTGGAGCTCGCCGCTGAGTCAGTTTGAGATGAGTCGATATAGCTACGCTCCGTTTTGGGTCGATGAAGCTTGTCGGAAAAACTGGTTTTGGTCGAACTTGGTGTTCATCGGATTTAATGAAGGAATGAAGCTTGTCCAGTCTGTGAAAGTGTTTGGGTAGAATAATACTCCTTCCGTCCCATAAAAAGTGTCATGTTTGGGGAATCTTGACTCACAAGTAGCTTAGCCGTTGGTTTTGGTTAAGCCTCTATTAGAAAATGACAAAAAAGGGTACATTAGTCATTTTCTTTATTTATTTGGCATATTCAACCGATAATGTCCAACCGGGGTGTAACTGAAGATTTGTAAATGAGGGAGGGTCTCCTTGATGTATTGACAAAACATGGGGTGTAAATGAATTTTACCCATAAACTATTGATGACTTTAAGATGTTCACGGCCTAAGAAAAATATAAGGCAAGTGACCAATACCAAAAAGTACAAAAGAAACTACCTTGGGTAATGCTTGCCAAGTAAACTTTCCATTAACTTGTCAGAAGACAAGCTTCCATGAAGTGGCAGTTTCTGCTTCAAAAAATTTCCAACTTGGCCAGTCATATTTTGTTTCGATGCATCCCCATTCTCTTTCCCCAGCTCAGGTGTCGAATCCACAATTTCATCATCACCAAAATCAAAGAGATGCAACATCTCTTCTTTTGATATTGTCCTATGTACTTGCTGTCTGTCGACTACCCTCGCTGCAAGCCCCTCCTTTGTCACCTGATTGTATCAATCATTTCAGTATAATTCCATTTGAAATAAAGAGACTATGACATGGGCAGATCCAAGAATTTTCCCCTTGAAATTAAATTTTTACACTATATATCCATAATTTGAAAGATTATTTAAGATACCATTTATAAATTAAAAGAACAACATAATCTTTAAACGTAGGAATAAGAATGGAAATAGAAATTATATTTAGTTTTCTTTATCATAAATTTCTCTAAAAATGCAAGCTTTCAAAAAGAAGGTAAAATTGCACAAATTAAGAATTCTTGTGGGTTTTGAAGGAACCAAAATTATTTTTGTTTTTTTGTTTTTTTTTTGGTTTAGGGTTCAGTGGGGCAGCTAGGCCATTACCTGACGTTTATATATTTTTTCTTCCATAGTTCCATGTGCCATCAGTCGATAAGCAAACACAGGTTTTGTCTGGCCATACCTACAACGACAAAAAAGGATCTTGTTCAGGGGCAACCATAAATCTAAAGAATTAACATCTGTCTTCTCTTCAATCAAGGGGGCAAAAGAAGACTCTTTCAGTTAACCCAAAATCCTGAAGTAAACGCACCTCCAAACACGATATATAGCCTGAAGATCATATGTCGGGTTCCAGGAGCCATCAACAATAATTACACGGTTAGCGGCATGAAGGTTGATCCCCAGAGATCCAGCCCTGGTTGATATTAGGGTACATTTTACCCTTCTATTCGAGGGCTCATTAAACCTCTCAACCAGTTTTTGCCTTTCAGAGCACTCCGTTCTTCCATCTAGCCTGTGAGCAGACACAGCCAGAAAAGAAGTCAAAATCAATGTCTTATCGTCCAAAATTGAGGAATGAACTCATATACTAAAAAAAAACTACATTATTTTCAACATGAAACAAGTAGAAAATTGACTAAATTCAGTCAGAATCAGGGAATGGTTGATAGTGACAGCATGAATGGTTCATGGAAGTAGGTTCATGGGAAATAATTCATGTTCAAAAAATAAATAATTCTAATTCAGTTTTGTCATTTCCTCAAATTTCAGTAAGAATTTGTACCCAGGAGAAATTACCAATTACATCTTCATTTACTACATTATTTCTCCTTTAATACATATTAAAAAAAAATAAAAAATAAAAAACAGCGATTTCTAATTGGCTTTAAGTTTTGTTTGATGTGTTTGAAGCAGAAGTCATATGGAAACTCCAGATACATACCAAGTCTGAGGATTGTGGCAGTCCATCTATTAATAATAAGAATGATAATAGTAATAGCAGTAGTAATGGTAATCATCATCATCATCCTTGCCTTAATCGCCTATGAATGGTAATAATCATAGTAATAACAACTATGAAGCACGCTTAAGGATGTAAGGTGTCTGGCAGTTTGACATTCCATCTTTGAAAAAGCAATGAAAAGGACGTCACAAGCAAAATCAATCAGATAAAATGACCGGCAAAATACTAAAGGCGTAGAAAAACATGAAACCAGTCAGATGGAAAGATGGGAGTGCTCTCTTAACACAGATTTACATAAATTATTATACAGTTTGTTTGTTTGTAATAGACTACCTCATCCATTTCATACTAAAGGTAGCACAAATTTGAAGAAAATTAAAAGCAGAGAAGAATATGAAAACTACAACAAAAGCATTAGAACAAATGGATATCAAAAGGTGTCAGAAAATGACAACAAATGGATATCAAAAGGTGTCAGAAAATGACAAGACCAAATTTTTTTTAAGACTGTTAGCAGCAGTCTTCTTATAATTAAAATTGGGGGAAGCAGATTTCACTCTTGTGCGATCCTCAATGGGACAAAAAAAATAAATAAATAAATAAAAGCATTCCAAATTTCAATCAGAAAGTCCAAAAAGTTCAAATGGAGTAGCAACATTCATCGTACATTTCTTTCATTAATTCTTTCATATGTAAATGTGCAGTAAAAACCCTAATTTGGGAGTAAAAGCAGATACGAAAGGATTCGGGGAATATAAACAGAGCCTGGCAGAAAGCTACCCAACAACTACGGAAATAAACACAAAACTCACGAATTATGAAGCACGAATTTCCAATATCCAATTTTAGAGTTTAGTGAAATAAATAAATAAATTGCGGGATGACTCCCGTGTCATGTAAATATTGCACATCAAATTTTAGATCTTTCACTTCAAGATTCCGCAGGATAATGAAGATATGAAACTTCATCATGCACCTATCTTTTCATTCAAGTTACCAATGTGACATGTTAGAAAACCATAACAAAAGCCCATGCAACACTCTTAATAAAAGATCATTAACTAAATTTTAAGTTTCTAACATGACCTAAATTTTGCTCAAGTCCTGAATAGCGTGACCACAGTACCTGAGTTTATATGTTATTATATTCACTTTGCTTTTCCACAAATTTAAAACTACAGTTTAGCGGCATTCACAATACAGCTCGAACTTAAAAAAATATACTACACAAATAAATTGATTACAGGTTGACATCTGCACATTGCTTTTACACAGAAATATAGAATCCAAAAGCTAGCTGCCCTCGGAAAATTTCAAATATATGGCACCCAGTTCCTTAAAGTTGTTAAATCCTAAATGAAACCAGTACAGTAAAATATTTAATCCCCAGAAACAAAGTTTATGGTTACCATCGGTATAAATTATGAAAAATAATTGAAAATTGCACAAATTGGGTTCTTTAAATTGATATGCCCCACACACACACACATCTTTACAAGACTTGCCATTTTAAGTGTTATTTAAAATATTTGAGACGATCTATATTGACTTTTGAGCAATTCATCCATTTCCTAAATGTTTAAAGTCAAATGTACTCACCTGTACCAGTCTTTTCCTTGTTTCCAACATTTCCCTTTTTTTCCTTGCTGAGGAAATTTTGAAAGATAAAATTCTATCAAATCTAGAGTTGATAAGCTCTGGCTAAAAACCAAGGCCTTATCTCCCACATTGGAGCTCATGGTCAGGATATCAAGAAGCAAAACCATTTTGCCACTATAATCAACCTCTTTATAGTTTTTTTTCTGAAGAAGATCATTCCACCAATCCTGAAAGGAGATAAATGAAGAATTTCACTTAAACCAAGAATGAAACGAAAAGTATGCACCTTAGACAACTACGAGGTAATTCCGTAACCAAAAAAAAGTAAATTAAGAAAATGAAAAACGAAGTCCAATGAAAACAGTGATTTTCCACCAACAAATTTGTTCAAACCTCGTGAAGAAAGCTTTCACTTTTTCTCTGCAGAAATTCATTCCTGCTCCTCAGCTTCTCAGCTAAAAAGCATGGAAACATTAATGCATCAGTTGAAAACACAAATAACAAAATGTCTTATCTAAACAAGCACAAAGCAAATAAAGGATTGACCAACACCACAGAATATCAGTATCAACTCCAATAAGACATTATGCATGGACAAACATTCACTCCAGAAGGAAAGCGAAAATAGAATATTGGGGAGAGGATATGAAAAGCATATCCAAAAGTGGAAGAAATAAACAGCCAAACAGTTATTATTATTGGAGCCTTCAAAGTTAAAGCCACACTAGCACACTGAAAATTATGTGTTTGTTAAACTGAAGATTTTGATATAATTTTGTGTTCCTGAACATGCATGTGTGCCTGCACGTCTTTATTCCACAGTTCTTGCTGAAAACAAGCCAACAATCAGTTGACCAATGTTTCCTTGAAACAGGAATCAGGAATGTCATTTTAGAAAGTAGTGGGACATATAATCACCGTGTAAAAATTAATACATAGACGAAAGTTGGTGGTAAGAATTAAAAAGCCTTGATGAAGAGAAAAACAATAACAGGAGAACCTTCAATCAAGAAGGGGCCATAGGATCCAAATGGAGGGTAGGATAAATGTATGAAAAAATTATTAATCTATTACTGATGATTTTTTTGTTGTAAAAGCCGAAGTTGTTGGCTTTACAAAATCCAAACAAGTGATAAATTTTTATGAATCATCACCACCATCTTTCCCTAATCCCATATGAATGGGGTTACAAATTCTCTTTTTCTATTCTTTTCTATTACAAGCCTTTTAATCTAGTATATTTAACTTCTAAAAATCATTTCTAATAACTTCATCCCATGTTAATTTTGCTCACCATCCATTTTAACATCCTCATTTCAATAATAAGACTGCGCTGTTCTTGTTTCTTTTCTAAAGCCGAACACTGTTCCTTCTAATATAGTTGGCCTAATAACTATTCTTTATTATTTTCCTTTTAACGTATTTGTTACTCCTTTATCGCATAAAATGCCACCAGCCTGTCTCGATTTTGTCCACCCTGGTCCAATTCTACTAGTTGTATCACTATTTATTTCTCCATACATTTTAATAACTACCGAAAAATCGAAAGTGGTTATTTTAGATAATCCTTTGATTTTGAAGTGTGATCAGATGAGATCCGGGGATGGGTTCGTGTCTTTTTACAAGCAGCTGTTTGAGGAGACTTCCAGTTGGAGGCCTTTACTTGATGGGCTTGAGTTTGCAGCAATCTTGGATGGTGATAGAGACGGGCTTGAAATGCCGTTTGGGGAGGAAGAGGTGTTGGCGGCTCTAAGGAGCTGCAATGGGGATAAAGCTGCTGGGCCGGACGGTTTACTTTAGCTTTCCTTCAACAGAATTAGGAGGTGGTGAAGGCTGAGATGATGGGGGCATTGGATTCTTTTTTTTCTGCATGGTTCTTTTGAGAAGAGCCTCAATGCTTCCTTCATCACTCTTATTCCAAAATAGGGCGGAGCATGTGAGGCGAAGGACTTTAGACCCATTAGCCTTGTTGGGGCGGTGTATAAAATTATTGTGAAAGACTTGGCCATTCGGTTGAGGAGAGTTCTCGATGGGGTGATCTCGGACTCCCAAAATGCTTTTGTTGGAGGGCGTCAAATTTTGGATTCAGTTTTGATTGCTAGTGAATGCATTGAGGCTAGGACGAGAAGTGGGATTCTGGGGGTTGTATGGAAGCTGGATATCGAAAAGGCTTATGATCATGTTTGCTGAGATTTTTTGATGTACCTGATGGAGAGAATGGGTTTTGGACAAAAGTGGAGGGCGTGGATTTTTGTTTTTATTTTTTATTTTATTTTATTTTATTTTTCTGTATTTCGACTACTTAGTTCTCTGTTTTAGTGAATGGATCCCCAGTTGGCTTTTTTGCTAGTTCTCGTGGCTTGAGGCATAGGGACCCTCTTTCCCCATTCTTATTTATTATCATCATGGAGGCTTTTAGCCGTCTGATGGGGAGGGCGGAAGAACTTGGGTTCATTCATAGATTCTCGGTGGGTAGAGCTCGAAATCAGTTACTCATCTCCCACCTGCTTTTTGCGGATGACACCATTGTTTTTTTGTGATGCTAGCCTCCTTAAGTTAAGGTATTTACAGTGCGTGTTGGCCTACTTCCAAGTTGTTTCCGGGTTGAAGATTAACATTGTGAAAAGCGAGATTGTACTAGTTGAGGAGATGGATGATATTCAAGCCTTGGCTGATACTCTGGGGTGTGGTGTTGGCTCTCTTCTGATCTCCTACTTTGGACTCCCTTCGGGATCCTCGTTGAGGAGAGTTACTTTGTGGGATCCAATTGTTGAGCAGTTTGAGAGGAGGCTTGTAGGTTGGAAGAAGCAATACTTGTCCAAAGGGGGGAGGGTTACTCTTATGAAAAGCACACACTCAAATCTCCCGACCTAATTTATGTCGCTCTTTCCGATGCCTAAGATAGTTGTTCGAAGACTCGATGATATTCAAAGGAAGTTTCTGTGGAGCGGTTTAGGAGATGAGTTCAAGTACCACTTGGTTAACTGGGAGGGGGTGTGTTCCCCAATTAATAAGGGGGGTTTGGGTATTCGAAGGCTGGATGTGTTTAATAAGGCGTTGTTGCAAGTGGTTGTGGAGGTTCGAGGGAGAGAGGTCCAAGCTTTGCAGGCATGTTGTAGCTTGTCATTACGGGGAGGGTGATGGGAGGGTGGATTTCTAGGGAGGCTAGAACCGCAGTAGGTATGGGCTCTTGGAAACTAATCCGTAGGGGTTGGTGGTTGGGGTGGGCATGGACGAGGTGTTGCGGGTGGGTACCCCGAGAGGGGTGTTTGAGGTTAAGTTCTTCTACAATAGTATGTTGGAGCGTCCTGACCCTATGTTTCCTTGGAAAGCCATTTAGAGGACGAAAGTTCCATTGAAGGTGGCATTCTTCTTGTCGATTGTTGCTTTGGGAAGCATCCTTACTATTGATAACCTTAGAAAAAGAAGTCATATTGTGGTTAACAGGTGCTATATCCGCAAGAAGATGGGGGAATCTGTCAACCATCTCCTTATTCATTGCTCAATGGCAAGGGATGTTTGGGCTATGTTTTTAGTTGTGTTTTGGTCTTCCATGGGTGTTCTCAGAATCCACGGTCGACTTGTTAGAGACTTGGAAAGGGTGTACAGTGGACAGTCGAGTTAGAGATGCTTGGAGGGCCACTCCCCTTTGTATTTGGTGGGGTTTGTGGCATGAAAGAAATATGAGATACTTTGAAGGAGAGGAGTCTCCCATTTGGGCTATTAAATACAATATTCTTACTTCTTTATTCTTTTGGGTAAATGGGCGGGATTGTAATTCAATGGATTGTCTTTTGGATTTTTTGGATAGCTTAAAGCTATAGTGTCGATTTTGGTCGGCTGTTGTCTTCTTTGGGAGTGCTCCCCTTTTCAGCGCCTTTTATAAAAATCTTAACATTTCTACTTTCATCCAACACCAATTCTATGGGGAATTTAAGATTACATAAATTCCTAAATTGATTGACAAGATAAACCAAACAAGGACAGGAAACCAAATCGAAATCTTCAAACCAAAAAAAATTAATACGTTAGATCACATGCTGAATGGGAACAATAAATTGCTGCTTGCTCAGCTACAACACAATCGTTAACTTCTTAACGAATTTGTTGTTGCTTAATTTCTTTACCAGTTTACCTTCACAATAATACTTTCTAAGTTCAAATATGATCTTAATTCTCCAAGTTCATGATGAAAGCTTGTAACAATCTGAAAGTAGCCACCAACACCCTCCCACTTTGTTTGACCTTTCCCTAAAGATATGTTTCTTTAAACTTATTTAAACTTGGCCTTATATATGTTCCTTGTATTCTCTAATCAATTGTTCCTTGAAAACAAACTCCTGCCCATCACTTGAAAATAGGTGTATGTTCCAGACTTTGTGCAGATTGTTTTTCTCTCGGCCATGGATGGGTAAGAAATTAGAAGAGTATCATAATGCTGGAGGATTAATTTTACACAAAGCTATATCAAGGTAATCACCTACACATAATATGAAACATAAATTTAAACCTTCCAGATACATGACAAAATTCAGTCTCATCGATCACAATGCCAACTTTACATTTGTAAACTTATCTTCTAAATTCAAAATATCAAACTGATACTCAAGTTAGCAGAATATTTTTTTAATAACTAGACACCTGTACAGAATTGCATTAGTGCATAACAAAATATAGGATGGCACAGATTCCTCTCACCAGTTTTACTACTTATCTCACAATTCTACTCAATTTCAGTTGCCAAACTTGCAATGCTTGTTGGATCCCATGTCGTGCCTCAATCGTATTCTTAGAATTGGTTGCCTCCAAAAAGCATGTTGTTAGAAAGGTATTCACTCTTTCAGTCCTTTGCCTTTATTCATGTTAGTTAAGGCTAATTCCAACAGAATCAATAATTAAGAAAGAGAGAGAAGGACAAAAATCATCTTGACAGCTTTAATTTGAGAAACTCTTCATTCTTCTCAACATATTTGTCATGCTCAGCTTAGGTTTTATCAACCTCTTAGGCTTCAGGAGTAATGTACCTGTCTTATATGGATGAGACTGATTTTACCATTTTTATTTCACCAAAGTACCTCTTAAAAGTCTCTAATAGGAGGGTAGTTTAGGTTATCTAAACAATCATTTCAACACTTTATAGTGGCCCTTATGAACTTCTCCAATTTCTATATCCTTCTATAAATAGATTTTAAGGTACTCTAAATAACCCCTCATATTCCCAGAACATAAATTACATCCTCTAGGGGGATGGCTTCCCACATTCATCACACATAGCCAGGCACATTACAAGAATATAGGCATCACAACAAAACATGGACTTCCCAAACAATACTCTTCTGTTACAGGGCACAAGTCAAAATGCTTTGTCTAAATCATAACCACTCCTCATTTCACAATCTACACAATTGGTAGCTGAGAGTGTCTGGGAGAATTGGAGGAACCCTCCTGGGTGCTTGCTTTCTTGCTCTGGGCCACTCAAAAGGCAGTCATATTATAGGGCTCTATAACAAATTCGATTCGCTGGTATGAAATCAAAAGCCAACTGGCAATCCAAAAACCACTACCACACTTGCCAACTTGTTGAAACTTCTTTCTGAGGACATCTCTTGTTAATAATTCATGAAATTCTGTTGAATATCCTGAACTAAGCAATTTCTCAGGTGAATTAGGAGGAAGAAATCTGGCCTACAGAAAATGCATCATTAAGCCTTTGCCATATGTAGTTTATTGGCGTTTGATCTTAATCAATTGAAAGCAAAAAAACACAAGCATGAGGATGGGCACCTCTTGTCCCGGCCCACCCAAAAGAAAAAAAAATTTCCAACACAGATGAGTTTTGAGGGGGCTAAGGCCCAATGTGTAAGTCCAGAGGCTAGAATTAGGGCACTAGAAATTCAGGTTCAGTTCAATGACCAACCTGCTTATAGTTGATTCCTTAATTTAATTTTAACTTTTTATAGTAGTATGGAACATTATTAACTAATGTTATTCTGTAATTGCCACTGTTAAATTGTCTTTATACATGCCCATCCATGCCAAATTGATTATTCACGAAATCTCCAAAGGCTCTCGGAATATTTCTAGCCGTAGGATTGCACTTGATAGCGTAGTGCCATATACAGTACTCAGCATGACCATGGCCCACTTTTTAATGGTACAAAAGATGCAGGAGAACTTGTACGGCACAACAAAGACAACACAGAAACAAACAACTATTTATTTAGTTAGTTATTTTGGTATTATACACAAAAAAGTTTACATACGTGCTAATATCCTCCTCTACCACCTCCACTGGTCAAAACTCAATTTATTTTGTTAAATTCACATCTCACAAATGGCCAATTTTGGGCATTTTCACAATTATATGCCTATTCCATTTTATATATTACAAAATGGAGCAAACCAAAGGACCATGTCTCAATCTGATTACTACAGGTGAGGCCCACTTTGGTAGTCTGTATCAAAGTAATGTTTACATCCAATACAGAAATTACTCAATAAAAGTGTTCAATTCACCTCACTAAGCATCTCTATTTGCAGCCTTGTTTCAGTCTCAATTTACCAAATCAATTTATGAATGTAATCCAGAAAAACAATTTTTTCAACAAAATGAAAAGGTAGTCTAGAAACTATCATGTAAAGAGAGATCCTTGTAGGGGACTTATGTTTTCCATCTATCTGAAATAGAAGTACAACATTATAAGCAAGTGGCGGGTCTGATATTGCATAGCATACTCATCAGGTTTTCCATAAGAATCAAACATGATTCATTAGGGTTAGCTTATATATATACTACAAGTCCATAAAATAATAATACTAATAATAATAATAATAATAGTAAATAACCAGAAAATTGAGAACAGAGGACATGCGCCCACAAAAAGAATTCAGGAAAGTAAAAACCATTAGTGCAAATTTAGAAGGCTCAAAAGGTATAGTTTTGGGAAATAAGAGTGTCAGAAACAATAGTACCTCCAGTAACCATGTTATAATCTATGTTATCATCACTAGAGCTGTCATCTGCAAGAAAATTTTCAACAGCATCTTCACGTTTTCCATAGTCTTTGTCTTTCATCAGTTGCAAAATCCCAGGATGGTTCCATATCTACCATGAGCATCTCACATTCTCATCAAATATGTAAACAGAAAAGTATCAAAGTAGTTTATTAAAACACTGGAAGCCTGAAAACACGCTAAGCAGGAACATACCTGAGCTAAGGCCTGATACCCAGCAAAAAAGCATCTCTTTTGTATCTTTTCACTAGAAATCTTTTCATTAGTGAATCCATGCACATCAAGAAATCTTTTGTATAACTTCCTCTGCAGGGGAGAAAGCTTCACGGCTATTACAAATACAGTTTTTGGGGGTAAATCTTTTTTTACCACATTCATGTCCATTCTCTGAATGAATCCTTTTAAGTATTCATACAGGATATGCGATCTTTGGTTCATAACTTTCACATCATCAGCGGTAGAATTGGTATGTTGACCATTCTCTATGGGATTTTGGAAGCTGTGTCATAAGGGAAAGAGTAAACAAGAGACCTAGCAAAAGAAAAAAGAAAACAGCAATCAGAAAATGTTAGAGAAGAGCACTTGCCGGTTCCTAAACTCATGGCTGCTGCCAAGGAATCCTTCTCGTACAAAATCAACCATCTGTTACAGATATAATCCATATAATTACGTTAGTGGATATGGATTAAAAGATTTGCCAGAAACTTATAGCTCCAGTAGAATCATACACAATAATATTCCATCAGATTGTTCTGAAGTGGTGATCCAGTTAATGCAATCCTTCTTTGGCTTTTCACTTGTTTCAAGGCCTGGGTTACATCAGCTCTGGTATTCTTGATCATATGGGCCTCATCACAAACCAGTATATCAGGCCCATCCTGACAAAAGAGATGTAAATTTTGTCAATAGGAGAGAATAAGCTAACAGTAAATGTGAGCAATGAAGATTTGCATGGAATTAGGAAAACCAGCAGGACGTAGTGAATTGCTGGGCAATATGGGAAAGGGATCAAATCATAAATCCATAGAAGTGCATAAATTATTAAGAAGATAACATTCCCACCCGTGAACTTCTATGCAATTCATGCAGTGACAATCATATATTGAATTTTCTGACAACATTAGATAGGGTGGAAACCTAAGAATGGGTCAAAACCTTACATTACCCACAAAAAAAATAATAATAAAAAAATAAAATAAAATAAAAAGGGTCAAAACCAAATAACTGCCATTTTTTTTTTTTTTTTTGATAAGTAATAAGTAAAATAAAAGGGCGTTCAAAAGGGGAATGCGTCCCAAATACAATAATGGAACCGAGCCTAAGGCCCCAAAGAATCCAAGAAAGTAATCAAATCATCGGAAGAGGAGCAAGAACTCCTCTTAACATAATTGAAAAGAGAGCGAATAATAAAAAGTTTCAGCGTCGCCGTAGACGACTCCTTCCCTTCGAACAGTCTGTTATTTCTCTCCTTCCAGATGCACCACCAAACGCAATGTGGGACAACTCTCCAATAATCGCGTACATCTCTTCTCACCCGACATCCTCTCCAAGCATGAATCAAATCCATAGAAGAACGTGGCATTACCCAACGCATACCAAACAACCCAAGAATAAGATTCCAATAGTCGTGCGCCACGGGACAGTGCATGAAAATATGATCAACTGACTCACCAGCGTCGTGTACATCTCTTCTCACGAGACAGTGCATGAATCAAATAACTGCCATTTTGAGTAAAATATAGAAGAATGGAGTAGGAGATAACCCAGCAAACCAATAAATGGTGTGATCAAGAACAATGAAGACGAATGAGAGCACTTTTAAGGTGAAGGTTTGATCATGTTGAACAAGTAAATGACAGCACCAACAGTAAAAGTAATGAATCAAACTATGGGGGTTGGGACCAGGAAGAATGCGAAAATTGAATGACAGCCTATTCCCTCTCTCCAAACGGCAGAAAGGTGAAACGGTAATTATGTAGTCCCTTTTGTTACAAGCTAAGCTCGGTATTTTTTGAATTTTTAAAATTAAAATGAAGACACTTTACACAGAGCAGTAGAAAATTTTCCATGTAAAAGATTGACCTAGATCTGAGACCACTTAATTATAGAACACTGGTTGTTCTCACCATCAACACACAAAGTTCACAAGTATCATCAAAATATGAATCGGTCAGATCAAACCAGGGAAAAATAGAGAAAAAGATGCCTGACAAAAGAGAACAGAACCTATTCAAATTTGATGAACCAAAATACAAAGACTTATTGTAATGAAAAAGAAAACATCACCTGTTATAATATAGTCTTTATTTTCATTTTTTATTTTTAAAAAAATAAAGAAGTGCACTACAATTAAGGATATCTTACAACATTTGGAAATATTAGGAAAGGGGGAAAGGTGGGATAAGCTTTAAACTCCATGGTTTTTTAGTAGAAATTTACATCCAAGTAGAACTATTATCAAAAGTTGGACATACATTGTTAACAAAGCACAGACGGCCATACAATTCAAATAGATCAGCAAAAAACTAACGCAATATTTCTGCCAGCCACAGGCAAGAAGGTTATCTGACACATATTTTGATAGAGTTCACATTCAACATAGATTTAAATGAACCAATTCTGTAGCGATGTTTAAAATGACTTCAGCAGAGGTAATGAAGAATCGGGCATGGCCCGAGAGTTTGAATTGCACGTGACTCTCACATAGGCATGGAAAAGAGGAAAGGACAGATAATGGAGTTTTCGTTAGTTTTAGGATTTGTAATAATTATGTGTTAGCTTTGCAGTATTTCCTTTTAATTGGTATTCGGTCTAGGTTTTCCTATAAATAAGGGATGCTGTCTCACAGCTATGTTGGAATTTAGCATAGTTATTTTCTAACTTTGGGCATAGGCACGGCCTACATGGCAGCCATTACGGATAAATGCCTCACTAGGCTCATGGCAGCCATTTTTATCGACTTTTTATGTTTGCAGCAGCTATTTTAGACTTAAGTTTCTTTGAATTGCCTATATATACATAGGCATATGTATTGAGTTAGTTACCTTTTGATGATTGAATAATATTGAGTATTGAATTGCAGAGCCTTCTCCCCCAATTTCTTCTTCTCTCCACTCTTCTATTCTCTCTTCTATCTCTTCTTCTCACTCTCCTTGTCTCTTCAGGTTCTAAATCACTCACACTACTCTCTTATACATCAGTGGGTATCAGAGCTCACTACCCTTCCTACATCAAGAGGAACTCAACATGGAGCACAATCGTGCAAAATGGATACAAAAATGGCTTTTAACATTAACATAAAAAAGAAAACCAGAAAAACATGAGTCACACACTCCAAAGCATAAGGGGTAAAGCCTCACTGAAAAGGCTCTCAAGTTTTACAAAAAAAGCACAAGTATAGAATCACTTGCACCAAAATCTTAAATTGTTAGGGAATGGGTAACACACTGTTATCAAGCTCACCATCCCACGTGTGTACTCCATTCATGCTCACATCAACACATGGCGAGGCAAATGGATATAAAGAATAGAGTGCAAACATACAAACAGAATGAGGAGGCAACTAGAATGGAGATACTTGAAGAAAAGCCCAGATACTCAATAGGCACAACTCATACACATCCACTATTGCTCCTATAGACATTTGAACCCTCAAAACCCCGTGAGAACTGAGAAGAGATACCACTTGAGCTAAAGGCTTGGTGGTGTAAGACTGATTTCCGGTTCATACAAAACAGTGATGAAACTATTTTCATAAAGAGTAGATACAAGCAAGAATATTGATTGTTAGGTTAATCCAATGAAAGTCATCATTCTGAAGTTGTAATAGATATACACCAATGACGTGAAAAGTAATAAATAGGATTAACATAAAAAAGTTTAATGTCACAAAGAGTATTGATGTTTCATTTATTTAACATATCAAATAACACGAGAAAGAAAAATCCTACATTTCTTTTAGTCAAATATTATGCACAAAGTAACAGTCCGATAAAATTGAATTTTGTTAGCAAAAAATATAATGTTGTTTTAAAAGGAGAAAAAAAGGCAAAAAATGAAAATAGAAAAGAAAGGAGGATGAGGAAGATAATAAGAAGTGATTCCCAATGAGAAATTTTAAAGATCAACATATATAATAGCTGACAAAAGCACTAGCATGCTTAAATTCAGAAATCCTTCTTGTGGTATAAACACAAGTCAAAATATGTGCAATGTTTCTATGTGGATGGCTACAAGTGTATGAAGTAAATAAGCATCTGGAAGCCAATCATTCTAGTTAGGTCCAATATCAGTGAGCTTGCAATGCTGGATCTATATTTAAGTGGTTGTGTTTTTAATATATAGCTTAAAAAAATTCATTCTAGTAGTTTGTAGCCTGGTATATTTTGGGACTTCCTTGTTAAGCACATTTCCTACATTTAGATATCATATTATTTCCTCGTATGGAAAAATTATGACTTTTTCAGTAGTTTGCTTATGATTTAGGGGATGCTGTATCCATATTGAATTGTCAAATAACTTGCAAGACATCTTCAGTGGTATCACTCAAATGAAACAAGTAATCAGCATAAATTCAGGTCAGTTCAATGACTGATGCGAATTTAAATATTTCTCACACATAATTTTTCTACTTATTTACATAAGATCAAGATTTGAAGTAGTGACTTCTATTACGTACCATACAATTTAAGGTTTGTGATATGCAGTTCGATCATGATACACGGACAACTGTGAGCATAAAATGTGGATATTAAATTTACAACACATGGCGATCTAACAACTCAAAGATGCATTTCCTCAGTAGCAACATATACCACGGTCATTGCAGCACAAGGGACTAAAACTTATCTCACCAATTTACAAATGGCAACGTTATTGTGAGACACATGATCACATCTCCAAGTATCATTTCCATGACTGCCACAATCTTCATGACATTCAAGGAGGTAGTTGACCACCTAATACTCAGCACTCTTAAGTGTTCAACACATTTATGCGAGTTGAAGACAGTACTCAGAGGGCTCCTTGAGCACAATTTGTGATTACAGTGTAAATCTTGAAAATTACGCTGTATTCCCAAATTAGCAATGTGATTCATGAAATTGCTTTGTAGCCTTATAATTGCAATATATAACTATTCTAAAGTGCATTGTGATACTTACCCAGTTAAGGGGGAGGGGGAAGAAAAAAAGTAAGTGGATTGCTATGATCTGATGATTACAGCTTCATTCTTGACATTACAAATATACAACTTTATACAGAGCAAAGGGCATGCTATGCTCCTAAACATTATACTGTAGTCTGGGCACTACACTGTAATAACCACAATTATGGTGCGGCAATTGGGTGTCACTTCATTATTTCATATCGGATACTTGAATTTCTCATCTTTATGAATTAAGCTAAGAACAAATCATGGTGTGATATGAGCCACGTACGGTGTATCTTACGACTTAAATTAAGGCAAATTACACATAATCAATGTCTTGGGTGTCATTTAAACCACATTTATAAATCATTCTCTAAGGAAGAAAAGAAAAGAAAAGAAAAAAAGAAAAAAAGAAAAAAAAAAAAGAAAAGGAAATACAGAAAAACTCCTCATCCATTTATCTCCATATAGCGCCCCATCTCCAGTTTTTGCCATTCAGAAGCTACCCTTGGTTTTTTTCAATCCATAACCACAGAAGGACCCCCTTATTAAACCACATCTATCAATTATGCGAGTGACCAATTCTGTTGTACAGACAACAATCATTGAGAAGGGTTGCTTTTGAGTAAGTTTTGAAGACAAGGGAAAGCTTCTCTCTCTCTCTCTCTCTGCATCATCCCTCTTGGTGAGTTGCCTTACTCTGTCCCCTCATATTCTATAACTTTCTGTTCATCATCACTCTTTTCTCTAGTATAATACCTTGCTGTTGTTCATTAAGTCCTTCATTCAATTCACCGTTTCTCATTGCCATCTATTGCAATTCTTTCATATCCAAACTGTGCGCTAAAAGTCTACCTACTAAATGCATTTAACCTAAAATGGTTGTGATTCCGTCCTTGGTTGGTGCTTGTATTGAAAGACTCCAAAGGAACTTTTTATGGGGAGGTTTGGGGGATGAGTTTAAGTATCATCTGGTTTGTTCGGAGCAGGTGTGTAAGCCTGTTAAGTTTGGAGGAATTGGGATTAGCCGATTGTTGTCTTTTAACAGGGCCTTGTTAGGTAAATGGTTGTGGAGGTTTGGTATGGAGTGGGATAGATTGTGGAGGAGAGTGATATTGTGTCGTTTTGAGGGGGGGGGGGGGGGGGGCGCGGGGGGGTGGTGTCTGAACCTGGAGGTGTCGGTGTTTGGAAAGGCATTCGGAAGGGATGGAATGAGTTTTCTAAGCATATCAGATTCAGAGTTCATGATGGTACGGAAATTCGGTTTTGGGAGGATGTGTGGTGTGAAGACCGGACGTTAGCATGTTCTTTTCCTAGACTGTTTAGGATTGTGGTGGATAGGCATGCCGAGGACGAGGTAGGGATGCTCTACTTTGGATTCCTTCTACTCGAGGAATGTTTAGTGTGAGATATTTTTTCGGATGCCTGGTGGACTTGAATGGGGTGGTATTCCCGTGGAATGCTGTGTGGTGCACTAAGGTGCCATTGAAAGTGGCCTTTTTTGCTTGGATGGTTGTGTGGGGTAAAATTTTGACGTTGGATAATTTGAGAAGGAGAAAGCTTAGCACGGTGAATTGGTGTTTCATGTGTAAGTGCAATGGCGAGTCGGTGGATCTTCTCTTGCATTGTCCAGTGGCGGTTGATTGTTAGAACCTTTTGCTAGGTTTATTTGGAGTTTGTTGGGGCATGCCTAGATCTACAAAAGGCCTGATGGACACTTGGAGAGGGGGTTGGGTGGGAGCACAAGCTCGAGGGTTCCGGAGGATGGCGCCTTTGTGTCTTTGGTGGTGTTTGTGGAGGGAACGAAATAGAATATCCTTTGAAAGAAAGGAATCTTCCATTACTGTTCTGAAATCTTCTGTTATTAGCTCTCTTTGTTTTTGGGGTTCGGGTAGACTCTGCTCTTCTGCTAAGGAGACTATTGAGTTTTTGGCATCTTTGGGGCCTTAGGGTACCCAAGTTTTTGTGGTTTGTTAGGGATGCATTCCCCGTTTGAAAATTTTTTTTTTTTAATGAATTATTTATTTATCAAAACAAAATGGTTGTGATTCATGGCATTTAGTTCAATCATTTCAGTCTCTGGTTACAGTTTATGATATATTGTGCACTATTATGCTTATATAATGAAATTCCATGCTTAAATATATACCTTCAATGTCAAAACAAAAAGCATATTTAATAAGGAATTCCACCTGGCTGTGACTGTTTAACAGTTGCTCTAATTCTGAAGTTCTTGGCAAACTAAAATTAAAACTTTCCTACTACAGCTCGAACCCATACATAAACCCTATTGTTATGACAAACACAACGAACCCAAGTTGAACCAAGAATCACAACAGAAAACAAAACACGCCACACAAAGATTTATACGTGGTTCGGCAACAGCCTATGTCCACGGTTGGGATCCGGCGAAAGTTTTCACTATTTGTAAAATCGAAGATTACAAGTATTCAGCTCCTCACTCTGTTTCTGTACAAATATCAGAGTTTCTCTTATCCACCACTCCAAACCCTAAGCGCCCTTATATATCAGGCTACAAGAGACTAATTAGGGTCTACAACCCATGAGCAAAAACGGGTCCACACAAAGCTCATCCAACGGGTCGTCAGGTCATAAGCAAGTTGCGACCCGGCACCAAATTCGGGCCACAATATCACACCTATGTTACGTCAAGAGGTAAGGGCCTTGTGCATTTCCCTCATTATAATAGCATTCATCATTTATAAGCTAAAACAAACAAAACTTTATAAAAAATGAGTTAAATAAAACACCCAACAAACTTCTTGCAAGATCAAATATAGTCAGAAATCATCTAACTGTAAAAATAAGGGGTTGAGAAGTAAAAATATAATATTTTGACCAAGGAGGCAAGGACCCAAACTCATTTTGGCATCTGACCAACTTTATGGATTGATAAGTTTATTACTCCTATTTACTATCAATTCGAAATCATCCCTCCTTTTTTCAAGAAAACTGAAAGCAGGCACCAAATGTGTCCAAGAATCTCCTAGATCTGTGATATGTATGAAACATTTCAGGTTCAGTTTCAAATGTTATGGATGAAAGACATCGAAATGATTGCCGATGAAAGGAAACATTTTGACCCAATGCAAGACTCTAAATTTAATTCCATTATTTTGACTGAAAAAGCACTTGTAAAAAATTTGAGACATGTTCATCTTAATATGCAACTAACAACACTCACTCATGTAACATGCATCAATAAGACGAGCACTATATTTACACCTCATATCCCTATAATTTAAACTCACTGCACATACATGAAGTATAAGAAGAAGATTTTGAAGTTCTTAGTAACAAAGCAATTGCCTATTCAAGCATGATTTTTGTGAAAAGATGCACTCAGAAATTAACTTTCACGAAATCACGACAATGCTCTTTGATAAAATCATTCTACAGTTGTCAAAGCTAGTCGAAGGCATTGACAATTTAGATATCTAGACATTTCGGCACATCATTTTAGGCGGACATTGTGCTGAAAACAAGTGAACTACCAGTAGGCTTAACAACTCAATTTTAAACATCAACTTCTCATGTGATTCATCTCAGTTTATCTATTATCCAAATTAACCCACATGGACAATTGAAAAGTAAATTAGATACTAGAGCAGTGGTAATGCATAAAATTTTGAAGATAAAAACCACCTGCAGGGCATAAGAAATCTCCCTAGCTATGTGACGGTCCTTTACGTGCTTTCCAAGGGACAAATTCCGAAAAGCAGAATAACCAATCAAGAAGATACCACCCTTAGTTCTCCACTTTGCCAGCAACTCAGCTCTTCTCTCCCTGACAAAACCAGCTCAACAGGGCTTTAAGTTAGAAAGATTATCAGAATGAAAATATCTAATCAACTTTTTTCTTTAAAAAAATTAAAATTAAGTTGATTGTTTTTTTAAGTAACTAACTTGAGCTATCAATCAAGAGTTGAAGGGTTTTTCCCTCTTTTCCTTTAATAAAATCATGCTTACCAAAAAAATAAATTTGAGATGCTAAAAAGAAATCAAGAAGAGGACCATGAAACAATTAACTATTTTACACTCGCTCTGTAGTTGAACAATTATATAACACATGCCGAACTTGCTCAAGATGATTTTCTTTTAAAGTGAAGAAGGAAGAATTACCATTATTTGAGAAGATGCAACTCATAGAGAAGTACAATAAACCGAAGAAGAACAAACTATGAAAGATAGAAATGGACCCTAAATGCCTCAAACAATCTGGCACCCACTTATTTGTTACAAAAGAAAATAACACATCTAGAGAGATGTAAATATGCAAAAGATGAGCATGTTGTCAGGGGCTTATTTGTTATTACTTATATAATGTTGGGTGCTTATGTGTAATTTCTGAAACTTGTTAGTATAAATAGAGTGTGGTGGAAGGATGAAAGTATTCTTAAAATCTTTCCCCATCTCTATCTCTCTCTTTCTTTTTCTCTCCTCTTCTTTCTTCTCTTTTTCCACTTGACTATTATTTTGATTATCTCTTAAAGTCAACAGAGCGCCTCTACAAGAACCTTGAGATTTACTTTCACAAAGTTCATGAAAAAAATAGCAAATCCCTCCTCTTGTTGTTGGACAAACCTTTGTTCTTAGCCAACCAATCAATAAAGCCACAACCTCAGCTTTTAAGGCGTATTCATCCCATAAGGCAGAGAAAAGTTGCACGATAATCCTCCAACTTTACCCTAATGCCACGTTTCATAGACACTTCAAAGTAAATGGAGTCCCCGTGTTTCCACATGATCTTGGACATGAGTATGGGATACGTCTAATATAACTATTGACAATCTGGAGGCTGCGTAAGATTATAGTCAATTGGTGTTGTATGTGCAAAAGTGATGGGGAGTCAGTGGATCATCTCCTTCTCCATTGTTCCAGAGCTAGGGATGGCTGGGACTTGCTGTGTGCCAATATTGGGATTTAGTGGGTCATGCCAGAGTCTGCGAGGAGCTTGATTGATGCTTGGGATGGTTGCTGAGTACAGCCCCAAGTTAGCGATGCGTGGAATACTGCCCCACTCAGCCTATGGCCATTTATGGAGAGAGGAATAGGAGATTATTTGACTGGGTGCAGTCTCCTTTTGCCACCCGCCGGGGGGGGGGGGGGGGGGGGGGGGGGTTCGCGTGTGTTCTTAGTTCTCTATTCTTTTTGGTTCAGGGGTCTAATTACAAAACGATGGAGAGTCTTTTGTGGATATCTTGAGGGGTTATTGTGCAGCTTGTTCTGGGCCACACCCCTTTTGGGCATTCTTCAACGAATACTTGCTTATGAAAAAAAAAGAGTCTAATACGCAAGTGAAGGTACATCACGTCATGACGAATTCAGAACGGGACATTCCATCAATAAAGATATTAATGGAAAATGTATATAATATGGAATAAATGCAAAGATATCAAACACGTGATCATAGAAACTAGACTCGTGGCTAAACAATTGCTCTGAGTGAAACTTTAGCATGATGACCAAACCATTAATAAAATAAAAATAATAATAATAAATTAACCTTGAAACGTCTTCCAGCATGAAGACTCGAAGAGGCTTTAATTCTGAAGGTCTCCACTTCATGAACTCATACCGCCAATTGTGCAGAACACTTACAGGTGTAACAATAAGTGCAGTTCTTAATCCCAAATCCACGCTTCTCATAGCAGCATACAAGAAAGCAATAACCTGAAATGACATCATCAAACCAACTAAAGCTACAAAAAGATGTATACAGGTGCCTGAGATATATATATATAGGTACTTATCAAAAAAAAAAGATATATATATATAGGCAATTACTCCAGGTGCTGGCATGTTGGACTAGGTATTGATCTAACCTTCAGTATTATTTGTATAAAGTACCTATCCACATACTTAAACGCGTGTTCTCAAGCTTGGCAGCCTGAGCTTTTACCACTTCACCAAGCAATGATCCCCTGTGTGGGATACGTATGAAGAATCGAATAATCCCATGACCAAAAAATTGGGAAGTAATGGGCTTGCAAACCATGAAAAGAAGAGATCTTAAAATGGTTTAAGGCAATGAGTAAGAAGTCCCTATAAAGATGGATAATGAGTAGTCAAGAAACCTTTACAATAATACCAGGAAACCACAATGTTAATTGTAAATTTATACTTACAAATATGCATTCAGAATGTTAAACTAAACTGAACTATGAAGTAGTCTGCCTCTATATTAAGCATCAAAGTGTCATTGATGTATACTGTACCATCAACCTTAGTATTGTTCATAAATATATTAATCATATTTAGAAGAGAAAACAACTTCGAGCTCTCCCGTATTATAGACAAACACCAAAACCAACAAAATAAACTCAGAAAAACCAATGCCGTGTAGGACTTCTTTTAGGGTTGAAGGTGGTGGGTGTTACGCACATAAAGTGATTCAAGGTGACCCATAAAAAGTAATACCTGAAAAGTTTTACCGAGGCCCATGGTGTGAGCCAGAATGCAACCAAGCCCTTTATCCCCAGCTTTTACTTTACTGATTGACTGAACAATGTTTTCCCACATAAATCGTATCCCTGCAACCTGCAGTAACATATTCAATAAGAATCCAAATATCCTAATACCTACAAGATAAAAAATTCAAAGGATGGCAGATGACCATTGTTGGAGGAAAAAACAATTAACAAAGGGAATTGATACGTTTATCAGGCTCCACCTAACACAACCTGGCCCGAATTTAGGGTACTAAAGCCAGTTTTATTACTAAATGATCCAGAGATATATCTTGACCACCAAAGCTGAGGATGGACAGTTGAGCTGCAGAAGGATAGTTTGGCTTGTATGAAACCAAGCCAAACTGAAAGTTAAAAAGGAATTCCCCAATCTGGAGCCTATTTATATAATTCTATCGGGAAGCATGAGTAAAAGAATAAACCAACGGGATCACAAAGATTGGCATAACCAATTGAACAACAAATAAATTGAGTATTCAGAAATTTAATGAAATTTTGGGACAAGGCAATGGTGTAAAATAACATTACAGGATAGACTAGCTTCAAATGTCTGAAGGGAAAGAGTGCCAATAAAAATCTACTATCTACCATGGAACCAGCTAAAATATTAAATCTGTGTCAGGGATGCCTAACGATTGCAACATAAACAAGTGGAAGTCGATCATGGCAAATGGAAAGCAAGGAAGGGCTTAAATTCTAAATACTAAGAGACCAACTAGAGTGATGATAGTTCCTTTCATGGGAAACTTGATACTGATATGATAGGAGGATGCCACAACCAAGTTGGCGTGGATTTAAGGTCATGCTAGCAACATTTTGTATGTTTATAGCACATCCAGTTATTCTTAAAAGGCCATAGATATAATAACGGAAAATATTCTATACTTACTAGGTATAGTTAGGAATTCATATTTTAAAAAGAGAGATGAACACTTGTAAACTTTAAAAGGGGATATTTAGCATCACGACATATGCTTCTTGTTTTAGACTAATGTATAAAAGGACAACCTAAAAGGACAAAGAGAATCATAAACCCAAGGACTTGGTGGTGAAATTTAAGACGGGAGAATGTAGAATTATTTAAAAATAGTATGTTAAAAGAAGCAACATGAAATAGAAAAGATGAAACAAACTTAATGAGGAATAAGATGACTAGATATATTACAAGAGTAACAAAAGAAATCCTAGGGAAATCAAAAGTTATTATAAAGTTTGGCAAAAAACTAAAAATAGTGAAACCTTCTAAGAATATAAAACAAAATAAATAAAGAAGTTACGAAAGTCGTAAGTGAAGCAAAACATAGAGGGCATGACGATTTTTATTAAATACTAGGCACAAAAGATAGGGAGAAGAATATATACAAACTTGCTAAACTAAGGGAGAGGAAAACTAGAGATTTTAGTGATATTTACTGCATTAAGAGTGAAGATTCACGGATTTTAGTATAAGAGGATGAAATTAAAGAAAGATGGAGAAGTTATTTTGAGAAATTGCTAAATGAAATCATATAAGAAGTTTAGGCTTAGAAGAATATAGTGCCTTAAAGATAACATATTTTTTCGTAGGGTCAAGGAATGGGAGGTTAGAAATGCCATAAGGAAGACGAAAACGGAAAGGTCTTCAGGACCCGATGGCATTCCTATTAAATTCTGGAAGTGTCTACGAGAAGTTGGCTTGTCCTGGCTAACAAAATTGTCTAATAAGATAATAACAACAAAGAGGATGCTTAATGAGTGGTGCCAAAGTATTCTAGTGCCTGTATACAAAAATAAAGGGGACGCACAAAGTTGTAATAATTACCATGGTAATAAATTAATGAGTCAAACTATGTAACTTAGGGAGAGAGTGATTGAACAATGCCTAAGACGAGAGACTGTCAGATAATCGATTAGGATTCATTACGGGAACGTCAACGGCGAAGGCTAGTAACTTATTGAGGAGACTAATGGAAAGATATACAAAGAAGAAGAGAGACCTCCATATGGTTATTATTGATTTGGAGAAAGCCCATGATATGTTACCTAGAGATCTAAAGTGGAGGATTTTAGAAAAGGAATGAGTCACAATGGGATACCTTGACACAATAAAGGACATGTATAATGGTTGTGTGAATTCCCAATTACTGTAAGCTTAATTCAAGGGTTTGCATTAAGCCCATACCTTTTGGACTTGGTTACGGATGAGCTGACAAAACACATCCAAGATGAGATTCCATGGTGTCATGGCTGAAACTGAAGAGGAGATCCGGACAGGGTTTGTGGCATTTTATCGGGAGCTGTTCACAGAGTCTGTCTCTTGGAGGCCGGGGATGGATGACATTGTGTTTGATAAAATTTCTGATGAGGATAGAGGGGAGTTGGAGAAACAGTTTGGGGAGGAGGAAGTGTTGGAAGCTCTAAGGAGTTGTGATGGAGATAAAGCTCCGAGGCCCGATGGGTTTACAATTGCATTTCTCCAAAAGAATTGGGAGGTGGTGAGAGAGGATGTGATGGGTGTAATGCATGCTTTTTTCGAGGAAGGGTGTTTTGAGAAGAGTTTGAATGCCACTTTCATTACTCTTATAACTAAGAAGGGTGGAGCGGTTGAAGCTAAGGCTATCAGACCAATTAGTTTGGTGGGCACGGTTTATAAAATTATTGCGAAGATTCTAGCTAGTAGGTTAAGGAAAGTGATGGATGGGGTCATTTCGGAGTCTCAAAATGCGTTTGTGGGAGGAAGACAAATTCTCAACCCGGTTCTTATTGCTAGTGAATGTATTGATGCGAGAGTTAAGAGTGGTGAACCGGGGATTGTGTGTAAATTGGACATAGAAAAAGCATATGACCATGTGAATTAGGTGTTCTTATTGTATGCGTTGGAGAGGATGGGGTTTGGCACCAAATGGAGGGGGTGGATTCATCAATGTATTTCGACCGCTCGGTTTGCTATCTTAGTGAATGGATCACCAGCAGGCTTCTTTGCAAGTTCGAGAGGTTTACGTCAGGGGGACCCATTGTCTCCTTTTCTATTCATTATTGCAATGGAAGGCTTTAGTAGACTCCTGAAAAGGGAAGGCTTTATTCAAGGTTTTACAGTGGGCCGTGTGCCTAATTAGATTGTTACATCTCACTTGCTGTTTGCTGACGACACTATTGTGTTTTGTGATGCGAGTGTGAATCAAGTGAGACACTTGAGGTGTGTTTTGGCTTGTTTTCAAGTGGTTTTGGGGTTGAAGATTAATATTGGGAAGAGTGTGATTGTTCCAGTAGGTGATGTGGATCATATTCATGAGTTGGCATCTATTTTGGGTTGCGGAATGGAGGCTTTTCCTTTTTCTTATTTGGGGCTGCCATGGGGTGCTTCCTCGAGGAGAGTTGCTTTTTGGGATCCATTGGTGGAACGTTTTCAAAAGAGATTATCTGGGTGGAAGAAGCAATACTTGTCTAAATGGGGTAAACTTACATTGCTGAAGAGTACCCTATCTAATCTTCCTACATATTTCATGTCTTTGTTTCCAATCCCTAAAACAGTGATTGGTAGACTCAACAAATTTCAAGGCAACTTTTTGTAGGGGGGTGTAGGGGAGGAGTTTAAGTACCACCTCGTGAAATGGGAGAAAGTGTGCACCCCGATTCAAAGACGAGGCTCGGAGATTCGCAGGTTGGAAATATTTAACAAAGCTCTGCTAGGGAAATGGCAATGGAGATTTGGGTGCGAAAGGTCGTGCTTTGGAGGCGTGTTATTGCTTGTCAGTTTGGGGAAGAGGAGGGAGGTTGGGTGTCCAGAGGTGTGAATGCTTCAGCAGGTATTGGGTCATGGAAAGGTATTAGGAGGGGGTGGGACGATTCTCTAAGCGGATATGGGATATGGTTTCAAGTTAGGGATGGTCGTTATGTGAGGTTTTGGATGGATGTTTAGTGTGGGGATGTGGCGTTGGCTTGTAGGTTTCCTAGACTTTATAGGATGGTTGAGGAGAAGCATGCGGTGGTGGCAGATTATTTTAGGTTAGAGAATGGGAGAGCTAGTTGGGATGTGAGATTTCGCAGAAATTTTAATGATTGGGAGTTGCTGGAGTTTACCGAATTAATGGGATTAATTTATAGTCAAGTGGTGGAGGGGGAAGGAAAGGATGAGATGATGTGGATGGGGGATTCTAGAGGGGTGTTTAAGGTGAGGCTGTTTTATAAAAGTCTTACGAATTCAATAAGTATCGGGTTTCCTTGGAAGGCTGTATGGAGGACTTTAGCTCCAATAAAGATGGCTTTTTTCACGTGGACAGCAGTGCTTGGCAGCATTCTTACTTTGGATAATCTCAGAAAAAGATGCTAGATAATAGTTAATTGGTGTTGCATGTGTAAGAAGACGGGCAAGTCGGTTAATCATCTCTTGTTGCATTGTAGAGTGGCAGCGGATGTTTGGAGTCTGGTCCTGAATGTCTTTGGGGTGGAATGGGTAGTGTCAAGTAACACGATTGATATGTTAGAAGCTTGGAGAGGGAGACGGGTGGAAAGTCAAGTTAGGAAGGCATGGAGGGTTGCACCTCTTTGTATTTTGTGGCATGAGAGGAATAGGAGATCTTTCGAAGGACAATAGTCGCTGGTGTGGGTTATCAAGGAGAATATGTTGCATTCTCCTTATTCTTGGGTTAATGGGAAAAATTGCCCATCTGTAGATAGTTTTTTGTATTTTGTTGACAACTTATCGTTGTAATGACGCTTTTTGCATTTCTTGTTTGCTTTGTTATGGGTTCACTCCCCTCTGAACGCGTTTTTTAATATATTTTTACTTATAAAAAAAAAAAATTTGTTTTAGTCGATGAGATTAGAGAAGGAATTAATGTCAAATTGGAGGCATGCATAAAAGATTTAGAACTAAAAGGATTTAATATAAGTAGAAATAAAACTGAATATAAGGAGTGTAATTAGTAACTTTAGTAAATCAAAAAATACGAATGAGAATGTAGTGAGGATTGAGAATCAAGAGGAACAAAAAAGTGAACATTTTTGCTATTTTGGCTTAATTATTCATAATGACGGAGAAACTAGGCATGACGTTAATCATAGAGTCAAGGCATGAAGGGTTAAATAGAGGAGTGCATCTAGTATATTGTGTGATAGGCGAATCCCCTTACAATTGAAAAGGAAGTTCTATCAAACAGCTATTAGACCAACCATATTTTATGGCACAGAATGTTGGGCAGCTAGGAAACAATAGTGGCAGAAATGCGAATGTTGAGATGGGTGTGTGGTAAGACTAGAAAGGATACGATTAGAAATGATCACATGCGGAAAATAGTTGGAGTAGCACATAGTTGTCATAAACGCCGGAGGAACCAGGCCCCCTAAAGGCGCGGGTAATGCGCCTGTAAGCGACACAGGCGAGACCCCTTTGTTACAACAAACGCAGCGAACCAAACAACAATTACGAAACAAGACAAAAAATATACACACAACACAAAGAACACAAGGATTTATACGTGGTGGAGATAAACACGCAACACAAAGTCCACGACGGAGGTCCACGGATAGTCTTCACTAGATGTAAAATTGGAAATTACAAGTTTCAGCCCCGCATTCTCTCTCTCTCTCTCTCTACGATTTCAGTGTCTCTTGATCATAACACTCCAAACACTAAGCATCATTATATATCGGGCTACAACAGAGCACTAATTAGGATCCATGACCCATACTCATCCAATGGGTCATTGGATTGAAAACGGGTCGCAACGCGACCTAACACCAAATTCGGAGCACAACATCACACCATTTAATAAGTCGCGCGCTTTAATAAACGAGGCGAGAGGCTCAACGCATCAAAGAGGCGCACCTCATTAAAGTTTCTTTATTTAAAGTCTTTTTATAGCTGTCGGCCTCGTTAAAATTTCTTTTCTTATAGTCATTTTACAGCTGTCACTTATCCAATGGACTTACCTTTTACTTGTTATTTGTCACTTACACAAGGGACTTATTTAATTGACCGGTTGACCCAATTAAAAAAAGAAAAAGAAAAAAAAAAAAAAAAGGGTTGACAGAACAAAAAGAGTCCGAACTGTAGGGGTTTGGGTCTCTGCAATTTGCGATTTGCGACAGCTTTGTTTTGCGATTCTCTCTGAGATTTGCAATTGGTCTCACCCTTCTTCTTCTTCTCTCTAGTCGAACTGAAACCTCTGTTTTTTCCCCTCTTCTTCTTCTTCTTTTGTTTTTCTTCTTCTCTCGGATCTCCAGTTCGAGGGTCATTTTTCTTTGTTCTCTCTCTTCCTTCTTCTCTCCTGAGTCCTGAGTCCTGTTTGCATGTCTGTTTTTTCTTCTTCTTCTCTCCTTAGTCCTGTGCTCCTGTTTGCATTTCTTTTTTCGAAACTCTGTAAGTTCTTTTTTCTGTCCTGTACTCCTGTTCGAACTGAGAGTCCTGTACTCCTGTTTGAACTGAAAGTGCTCTGTTTTTCTCCTTAATCTGTTTGTTTTATGCTTTAATTTTTTTCTTTACTCAGTTTGCTTTAATTTTTTCATGCTCTGTTTTGCTTTGAAATCGAGTAATTGACATGTTTCCTGCCTTGCTCTGATTTTCTATGTTTGTTTTAGTTTTTATGTTATTAGTTGACTGTTGCATTTTTATGTCAGTATGTTGAGTATTCTGTCAAAAAAAAAACTTGTACTTGGTTGGCTTTTGCATCTTTATGTTAGTATGTTGACTATTGAACTTAAAGTAATTGGTTTACATGTCTTCTGCATCTTTATATTTACTATGGCATCTTTATTGGGTGCCATTTTTCTTCCTCAACTTGCGACTCACTTCAGTCCGGGGCGCGCCTCAGGCTCCAGGAGGCCTTGGAGCCTTGAGCCTTTAACAACTATGCAATAGCACAAATTGAAGAGAAAATGAGAGATTATCGATTAAGATGGTTTGGACATGTGCAAAGAAGACACACCAGTTAGAAAAAGTGACATAGTTCACATTGCGGGTAATACTAGGGGAAAAGGAAAACCAAAGAGTTAGTAAGGATATGATGGCATGTGGATTGACCGAGGCTATGGCCTCAACTAGAGCGAAACATAGGATTCATGTAGCCGACCACAAGTAGTTCGGAAAAAAGCTTGGTTGTTGTTGTATTTTATACTTATCAATAGCATTAAACTCCTATAACAACCAACAAAAAAGGAAAAGGGACGGTACAAAAGAGAGATGGAGTAAAATTAAACTGCTATAATATTAAAAATCAGGAAAAGGCACAGTAAAAAAAGATAGCAATGAACGAAGTACTCATTTTATAACAACATAGCCCTTCGAACAGCATCCCTGTGAACCATGACACTCATGTCAATCTTTTCCTAGGGAATCAATACTAAGAAGATTTAGCAAAAGCTAGGGAAGAATTAACAATATATCCAACAAGAAAATATAGACAACATATTCAACAACAAAATATAGACAACATAATATATACATATAGAAAACATTAATCTGCCAACAAAAAAAAAAAAAAGTTAAGCATACCCCCTCTGCCTCAACCCCATCCCCTACCCATGGGCCACGCCCCAGATGCCTTTCAAGCTTCAATCCAGGGAGCAGACTGAGCAAAATCATGATGACTTTTAAACCTTTTTCAATTTTTAATATTAAAAAGTGCAAGTGAAGCAAGTGGGATTTGGATCCCGTCATGTTGGTTTAAAAAGGAAGTACTCAACCACTAAGCTAAAACCTGATTTCTTAACATTATTCAGTTAACAAAAATATAATCTCTTGTTCCATTAAAGCCTTCATTTTTGGAAATCCATCTTTTAAGGAAAGAGTATTTAATGCACTCACGTAATATTATACAAGTTTTAATTTTCAAAATTACCTTCCAAATAGAAGTAATTATAATTGTTTCTAAAAAATTACCACTATGTCCTACTTTTCCCTATAAAAGACAAATAAGTCCTATAAGTTTTCAATAGGACCAATAAGTCCAACTTTTGAAATTCTTTTCAATTTAAGTTCTAAACCACTCAACTTTTGCAATTATAGTTTCTATTCTAAATTTGAAATGCAATACATTTTTTTTTTTGGTTTCTATGTTCTTTTATGTTTTAGTTAATTAATGAATATTATATTACAAATTTAAATAATAAATAATTGAATTAAAGTTCAATTCCAAAAATCTTTTGTAGATTTTACAACAATCATTTTTAATATACAAAAAGTAAAATTTCTATTGAAAGAAATTTAATAAAACATTAGAATTTCTTTTTATTGAAACAATTTGAATAGATTTGTATCCTTTTTATTTTCAAAATTTTAAATCTAATTTGGTAAGGGCATAAATGGAAAGTTGAGTGGTTTAGAACTTGTTGAAGGATTTAAATATATAAGTTAGTAAAGTTACACCCTCTCTAACAGCTTAAGCTTTTGGAGTAGACAGTTGTCAACATGGTATCAGAGCAAGGTAGGTCCTGTGTTCAAACCTCGGTGTCACCCTGATTTAAAATTTGAAAAACGCGTTGGACCAAAAGAAGGCCACACATGAAGGGGTGTGTTAGATAATTTAAATATTTAAGTTAAACCATCTCTAATAGCTTAAGCTTTTAGAGTAGATGGTTGTCAACAAAACTTCAATGGAAAAGAATTTCAAAAGTTGGGCTTATTGGTCCTATGAAAAATTTATAGGACTTATTTGTCTTTTGCAGGGAAAAGTAGGGCATAGAGGTAATTTTCCCTATATCATTTAGAACAAACAAAAAGAACTTCCCAAGCTTGATCTTTTGTCCTTATAAGAAGTTAAAATTTTGATGACGAGGAAACACTAGGAGCAAAGCTCCTCCAAAGATGAAGAGAAAAAAAGGAGGAAAATGATGACTAGAGAAACAGAGGACTAACTGTTTAGTAGGACGTAATCAACATATAACTAACAAATGAGACTATTGAATGCTACAAATTGCAGACAACAAAAACGAATCAATTACGTTCAAACCATGTAAAAAAATGTTTCAGTTAAAATACAAGTATAGAAGGAGAACCTGGTGAGCTTTCAACTTTGCCGAAATGCTTGGAGGAATCCTAACAGCCTCTTCACCTGCCTCCCTCACAACATTCACTATATAACCTGTTAAAACATCACCAAGAACCTCAACGGTGCCACCTTCAGATATATTCCCATTAAAGCTTGCAGAATTCGTCATCGTGGACTTGGTGGAAAACTGTGCTTCCAAGGACTTGAGATGCTCTTGACGTTCCTACAGAAATCAGGAAATTTATAAAAGACTCTGGTAAACAAGAACAGTTTCAAATGAGAGATTCAATTAAACAGAATTTACCTTTTCAATTGCAATTTTCCTTTTAGTCTCTTCACCTAATTCAGCATCATCAAGAATTCTTCGAATTTTCTTTTTCCGTCTTCTCTTGGAGCTGCTACAAGATTTGAGCATATTTAAAAGAGAAATATAATCCGACAGCCTGCTAACATGTTTTAGAACAATGAAAATCCAGAATTTCAAACTGGAATCTGAGTTTCTGGAAAAGAACTGTAAAATTCCTTGAGGATTTAGGGAGGGTGAATGCAAGAGATGATAACATAGCTACACGACTGGGGCAAAACCTCAAAGGGCATCATGTTGAGGCCCCAAAATTTCATTTCTAAGAACACTCCGAACCAATGAGAGCATGCATGATATACCTCAATATTCAACAACTACTCAACATTCCAAACCTCGCCATAAACATAAAATATATAGTTGATATTTTGTGTAGAAAAAAATATATCTAGAAGGCTAAATGATATTGAGGAGGTGATTGAGTGGTGAAAAAACTTTTTAAGTCGGTGGTGTATAAAATGCAGTTCTTGGACATAGGACAGAAAAAAAAGTAATAGGGATTTGTCTCTCATTTCAAGGACACAACCTCCCATGAGGATTCTCAAGTATACATGAATGTCACCATATGTAAATGAAAAGGAAGAAAATGAACATCTAATGCTTCAAAACCATAATATTTTATAGTAACAGTAACAAATTGCACACAACAGTAATGGAATCAAATACAAATACCATTAATTAATTTTAAAAGGAAAACTGTTCTACCTGATTGCAACATTTATTTCTGCACATGAACTGTCTGAATCAGTATCAGAGCTAGAAACTATCAGACCATTAGATCCTATAGCTTTCTCTAACTTTAAAGTCAACTGCTGCAGAATACTTGGAGAGCAACAACAACATTGCCAACCAGATGCCTGCGCATCTAGCAAGCATTTTTCACCGAAATTCCTCTTGATACATGCAGTACAGAATAATGTTTTGCATGATCTACAGCTAACTAAGTTATTGTTCTGCCCACACCATCCGCAGTAGCACTCTAAGCAATCAGGATCCTGGCATAGAAAAATATGTCAATACAAGGTACAACATGGAACCCTAAAGAATTCTAATCGGTAAATCTCAGCACAGAATTTATAAATAAAATATAATAATAAAAAATAAATAAATAAATCGGCTAGTTTGTTGAATAATAATATAACAATAAGACTACGAAAAGTATCTGTTGTATTACTGTAAATCAACAACCATATCAGAACTCAAAAGTTGTCGAATTCTAGAACATCACCATATACCAGCAGCTAATCTTTTCTGTAAATAGCACATAGTTTTTTTATGAATAACAGTTTTTTTATGAATAACATCTACTGAAACATAAAAAGGAGTTCTCCTCCTACATGCAACTTCATCCAAAAGGAGAGGCAATCGTCATAAGAAGTCACGTGCATTTCGAAATGATTCAATCAGCATATTCACATAATTAGTACCCACCAGCCAAGAAGGTATCTAACTGCTAAAATTTTAGATCTGCTCGATGGAATCTACAAATACTTTTGCATTACATACCTTTAAATGCATCTTTGCTTCCACAAAAGATTTGCAATCCCTGCAAACAATTACTTTCATAAGTGGATGTGAGTACACTTCAGTAGCCACTTTATCACAAGCAGTACAGTGAGAATTCTCATTCAGATCATGTAAAGGAAGAGAATCGGCATGAACAGAATCATCTCCAACAACTTGCAAACCAGATTGATCCACCATTTGAGTTACATTGAAAATAGGAGAAGCAGATTTATCCCCTGCGACATGAGCTTCATCATCACTATCTATAATAATAGTTCGACTCTTCTTATTATCAGTGTCCAATTCCTCACCATCATGTGACCGCTTAGACCCTCTAGGTTCATTAATATTAGGCAAACCAGACTCGGAAAATGCTGGAGAATAGCCATTATACATTAGTTCTTTCTTGTCAAGATCAATGGAAGATTCAATACTTTCTTTTAAATCAGTAATCAACTTTTGGCATGCAGTCTCAGTATTATCACTATCTACTCCACCATTCCCATGAGTTTTCTCACCTGCAACAGCGTGAGAATAAACATCTAAAGGTGCCGTACCATCAGTATTTTCTTCCATCAGCCTATTCTCCGAGGGAACTTCTTTCTGAATAGCCTCCTGATTTAGTAACAGAGCAACAGAAGCGCATCAATAATGATTACATATTAAGGTCCATTAAAGCTTCACATGGTAGGTCAGACACAAGTAGCAAGGGCCATATTTATGTTGAATACACCTGAGAATCTAAAGGTCCACAAGTCATCCAATCAAAAACAGGATTTAACTTGGGAAGTTTATAATTAGGAAACATTTATTAGTGTAAACTAAACGAACTCAGAAATCATCTAATCAGAGGCTTAAAAAAGATCTCAGGAAAGGGTTTATGATCATTTCATCAAATATATTTAGCAAGCAAACAAATATTTCCGACCTAATCAATTATATAATGTTGCAGGCGTCATTCCACTGTTCACAAATTGCACATGATTATTCTTCTATCCAAAATCTAATAGTTTCTAATCCTTTATAACCAAACCTGCTTGCAGGCGCATATAACAAGTTAACAACCCAATTAACAACTAGGTGTATATTCACAACTAAAAGAAACCTACAGAAACAGATTGAACGAAAACAAAAGCAGAATTTCTGCAACATCTACTTTGGAGTTGTATTAAAATAAAAGAAACATATAGCAGACTCTAGTGTGTACTTGCAACCTCGACTCAAGCAAATGTCATTATTCTATCACTCCGAAGAAAAAATAGACAGGCTAACTGCTGAGCCGTGCACGCATTCACAGCCATAAAAATAAATATTCTAGAACCAATGTATGTATAAAATTTTCATTAAGCATACTTATACAGTAAAAAATAATATGAAGAAAATTCTAAAAAAAAAAAATCTAAGTATGCGACCCTCTTTTTCTATTAAATACACGCAATCATAAATATATATTTTAACATATACAGTAATCATCAATGACTAAGCCAGAAAATTATTTGAGGGGGGGGGGGGGGGGGGGGGCGCGGGCCCTTCAACACAACAAGATAAAAAAATTATTCAAAATACCATAATAAACAAAAGAACTCCAATACTAATTGATATTTTCATTGAGTGCAATGCAACTCAATTGCCAAATTTAACTGAATTGATTAGATTTAAATTATCAATTAGATTTAAGTGCACCTTCGTTACAAAATTTTGAACCACAATAAGAAAAGAAATGGATTTCGCCATTATCAAATTTATCATATATACATACATCTAACAAATATATATACAAACACACACACGCAGAGAGAAGACCTGAGACACGAAAGCGAAGATGAGGACAGTGAAACCTATGGTCTCAATAGAACCAATCGATCTTCACAAATATGTGTGTGTGTAGAGAGAGAGAGACGATGGATGGGAGTAGAGAGTGAGCAAACGAGACGGGACTTTTTACAACCCAAATATCCAGTGGAGGCTGGTTTAACAGAACTGTATGTTTGTAATGTAAAAAAAAAAATCAGTGGATCCACCCCCACTTGGCACACTGTAGATCCATGCCTGGAAACCATGTGCGCACACAATATTTTAGATTCACGCTTAAGTTCATCCAACCATTTAAGAACCTTGACTTCTGAATTCCATCTATATACACATTACTTTCACTAAACAATGCCAACTGGGATAATTAACATTTATATACAACTGTTTAAGGAAATAAAATATTTAATTCACTTTGTTATTTACTTTTTTAAGAAAAACAAATTAATGTACACTAAAATATGTAATATAGAGTATTTATGTAAAATGTATAATACACAAGTATTTGTAGTTTAATAATAAACTTATACAAAGCATTTTAAAATAACTGTAAAATTATAATTAGGTATAAAAAATTAAGGAAGGCAAATAAATAACACAAAATTCAGAAAATAAAAAAGTTCTGAAAATTACAACATTATATCATGTCTACAGTATGCAAAAAGTCAAAAAGGAAAATTATGAATTACATGTTTTATGAATGTAAATCAATTAATTCCATTATAGAAGAAAAGTAACTATCATAAAAATAGATAGAAAAGGAGATATTGCTCGGAGGGAAAGACCAAAACTAACATGCATTAAGATAATACGGGAAGATATGACATCATATGTTTTGAGTGAAGTTACTGGCTTAATTGAGAGAAATTGTGAAATCAAATTCATATATCTCAATCCAAATAGTTGGGGAAACACTTTTTTGAGATGAATCCTCAATTTTATTTAACAATAGTTAATTTTTTTAACTAAAAACGTGAGTGAGTAACAAGCATACTTCGTGGAAGGATAAAGGATGTAAAAGAGAGACATTGGAGGAGATTAAAGAACAGATAATGATATTCATCAGTTAATGTCGATACAATGAATGGAGGAGAGTGGTAAGCCACTTGAGATTTAGAGAGAAACAAACTAGAAAATATGGATTGCTGAAGACAAAAATAGAGAGCACCAAGCTGGTGATAAAATGGGAATTTTCTCTAAGCAATGCCACTGGTACAATATAGATATCTGAAATGAGTAATTTGCAAATTTAAGAGCACTCCAACAGAATAGAAGCATAAAAACTGAAAGCATGAACACCAAAACCTGTTCGAATCTGTTCCTATGTCTCCTTTGTTTCAAACGAAGTTGAAGCTTCTGATCAATATTAGCATCATCTTCCTCTTTAACCTGTCAGAATTTAGTTACAATTTACAGGAAATAAATACAACCAAAATGAATATTAAAAGCAACCTTAACACAGCAAGTACATGGGACGACACAAAAAACTTTGAACCATGACAAACAGGATTTACATACAGATCCCTGAGGCAGCTAACCATGTGAATATCTTTTGTCTATCAAAAACAAGTTTATGCTATATTCTGTACAATTTGAAAGTGAATTAACATTCTATTATAGATTTGGTAGAATCTAGTCTCCAGGTTCACAACTCGTTTCCTCCACAAAAGCATCTTCAATTATATTATATAACATCGTAACAGATAAATAAAATCAAATATAAAATAAAAACAGAACAAGATCTGCAATAAATAGAGAGATTAACTATAGTGAAAAAAGGATGCAAAAGAATCATAACGAAATATAATTTTAAATATGCAAGTATAACTTATAAAAAATGTTGAAAATGTTTTAACATTGAATTGTTTAGGAGACACGGCCTTCCTCTTACTAAGTCAATTGAACAATATATTATATAGGGTAAATTACACAGACCTCCCCTATGGTTTGTCATAATTACATGGACCTCCCCTATGGTTTCCAAAATTACTCTGACCTCCCCTATGCTAAAAAGCAAAGATTGTAACACGGACCACCCTTGTCAGTAGCAGACCGTCACGTAGGCTTATGGTTAGTATATTTTTACCAAAATACACTTAGAATAACACTAAAATAACAGAGATGGCTTTTTGCGCTCTCTCTTTCTCTCTCTAAAAATCCGCTTTCTTCTCTCTAATACTCTCTAATTTCTAATCAAAATTCAATCCTAGTTCCTTTGAATATGTTTTTGAATTTATCTAAAATTAGAGAATGGATAAAATAAAAAATACTCCCTCTGTCCCCAAAAAAATGTCCATCTTTCCTTTTTGGGTTGTCCCAAAATAATTGTCCACTTTCATTTTTCAAACAATATATTTTACATCTTACCATATATGTCCTTGAAGTTTAAAATTTCAAACTTGAATATTCAAAACTTAAAAGGGCAGGTTAGTAACTTTCCATAGGACAATATATGGCCTACATGTCCCCTTAAAAATTTCTACTGCCCAAAAAAGACATTCTTTTTGGGACAGAGGGAGTAGTTGATTGGATTGTGTTTTTGGGTTGCAATCTTGTGTTGAAGCAAGTGGAATTGGACTTGAGGAGGTGATTTATAAAATGGGTAAAGTGCCAAAAAACACATGTTATATAGCGTGCAAATATCCCCCCTACCGTTCAAAAAAAGCCCCTACATATTTCAAATTGAGCAATTAAGGACATTTTCTCATTTCAAAGACTGAAATACCTAAAATACCCTTAAAGTGAAATATAAAAAAAAATTATTTCAGTTTTTTCTAATATTTGGGTATTTGGGGTTTTTATAAATTAAAAAATATATATATATGCTCAAAATTGACAACCAGAGGCAATTTGCTACAGATTTTTGCAGAGGTGATTTAGTTTCTAGTGGCGTTTGGGATAGGTTCATGTATTGTGTTCAAACTAGTCTAACAAGTTTTTGCATGTTAAAAAAATGAAATCACTACAACTACAAGGAGGCTTTACTACTTTTTCGAATCTCAGAAACTAATTGAATGATTCACTCACAACACTCAGTGTATTGCACAAGGTTATGGTTGATCGACATGGATTGAATTTCTTACCCTCCCGGTACCAACCAAAACAGAGGTCTTATTAACACTCCAACCCCCCACCCCCAAACAAAAAAAAAAAAGGTTTTTTTGTTCTTTGGTTCAAAATCTCAACTTTGCAACTGGAGATGAGGTGGTGCACATGTCATAAACTCACACTTTTCACCATCACATCATCTGGGTCTTCTTCATAGTATTGCATTTTTATGGAAATGGAGGAAAGATTCTGAGAATGGGTTTGGGAACCACTGGACGAAAGGGAGGGGAAGACCTCATCTGGGTCGTCTTCTTAGTATTGCATTTTTTTTTTTTTTTTTTTTGTTGATAAGTAATAATGAATTAAAAAAGGCGTTCAAGAGGGGAACGCGTCCCTAAAACATTAGAGGAACCGCGGTCTAAGGCCCCAAAGAATCCAAAAAAGTAATTGAATCATCAGAAGAGGAACAAGAAATCCTCTTCACATAACTAAAGAGAGAACGAATAATAACAAGTTTCAGTGTCGCCAATGACGACTCCTTCCCTTCAAACATTCTACTATTTCTCTCCTTCCAAAAGCACCACCATACACAATGTGGGACAGATCTCCAATAATCATGTACACCCCTACTCACACGACATTCTCTCCAGGCATGAATCAATTCCTTAGTAGAACGTGGCATTACCCAACACATGCCAAACAAACCAAGAATAAGATTCCAACAATTGTGCGCCACAGAGTAATGCACTAGGAGATGATCAACTGACTCCCCATCTTGTTTGCATAGGCAACACCAATTAACAAAACAATTTCCCCTCTTCCTCAAATTATCAATCGTCAGAATCTTACCCCAAACAGCGGCCCATACAAAGAATGCCACCCTAGTAGGAGCCATAGAGCGCCAAATGGTCTTCCATGGGAAGTCAGAGGTTACAAAACTAGAAAAACATAAGAACAAAAATCTTACTTCAAAGCGACCATGAGAAGAGGGAATCCATGTCAAATTGTCGTAACCCTGGCTAATTCCTTCCTGCCGATACAATTGGTCCAAAAAAATACTCACCTCGTCCAACTCCAATTCCTAAAATGAACGCCGAAAATGCACATTCCACGTAATCCCACTATTATCAAGCCGATAACAGTCAGCTATGTAGGCATGTTTATCAACTGCAATACTGTATAATCTGGGAAATGTACGAAATAAAGGCTAATCCCCACACCAAAGATCTTCCCAAAAACGGACGCAACTACCATCACGAACTTTGAATCTGATATGAGAGGAAAAGGCATCCCATCCCTTCCGAATGGATTTCCATGCCCCAACTCCTCCCGCAATAGAAACCGGACTTGTAGTCCAACCGCCAACATCTTCCCCATACCGACAAAAGACTAACCTTCGCCAAGGACGGTGTCTTTCCTTCCCGTATCTCCACAACCATTTGCCCAGGAGAACTTGATTAAAAGAAATCAATCGCCTAATACCAAGACCACCCAACTTCATAGGCTTGCAGACTGGCTCCCATCTAACAAGGTGATAATTGAACTCTTCTCCCCTTACGCCCCAAAGGAAATCTCTTTAAATTTTTTCAATCCTATCAGCAATGGAGCATGGAATTTGGAACATAGATAGAAAATATGTGGGAAGGCTTGATAAAGTCCTCTTGATAAGAGTTACTTTGCCCCCCTTAAACAAATATTGCTTCTTCCATCCTGCCAGCCTCTTTGCATACCTGTCAATCACAGAATCTCAACTCCCCACTATCCTGGAAGAGACCCCTAGGGGCAGACCCAAATAAGGAATAGGAAAGGAACTCACCCTACACCCAAGTACTGCAGCTAAAGAAGAGATATCCTGAACATTCCCAACCGGGGCAAGCACACTCTTAGCCACGTTTACCTTTAGCCCGGAGACCGCCTAAAAACAAGCCAGCACGCACCTCGGATATCTAAGTTGAGACACATCTGCATCACATAAAACCAGGGTGTCATCTGCAAATAGCAAATGAAAAATCTCCACCTGATGGTCTATATCTCTTCCTAACTGGAATCCCTTAATAAGACCAAGATCCTCTGCCCTGCGCATAAGTCTGCTTAAGCCCTCCATAACAATAAGAAAGAGGAAAGATGACAATGGATCACCTTGTCTTATACCCCAAGTGCACCCAAAGAAACCAACGGGAGAACCATTTACAAGAATTGAGAACTTAACAGACAAAAGACATGTCTCAATCCATTTCCTCCATCTACTTCCAAACCCCATTCTTTGAAGCAAATAGAGTAGAAAATTCCAGTTTACATGATCATAAGTTCTCTCAATATCAAGTTTGCGTAGAACTCCAGGAACACCACTGTGCAATCTTGAATCCACACATTCGCCTGCAGTAAGTACTGAATCAAAAAATTGTCGTCCTCCAACAAAAGCATTCTGGGAATCTGAGATAATCCCATCCATAACTTCTTTCATTCTTTGAGCAAGCACCTTAGCTATGAGTTTGTAAATACAACCCACTAAGCGAATAGGACGGAAATCCTTAATGTCAGAAGCGCTTCCCTTCTTAGGGATGAGGGCAATGAATGATGCATTTAGCGACTTCTCAAAGACACCAGCAGAATGAAACTCCTGAAAGGTACTCATCACCTCATTTCTCACTACCACCCAACTTTCCACCAGAAAACGCATAGTAAACCCGTCAGGCCCCGGAACTTTGTCCCCATTACAACTGGATAAGGCCTTTAGAACTTCTTCTTCCGTAAAAGGAAGCTCTAGCCCATCTCTCTCCAACTCAGAAATAGCCTCAAAAGGGAGTCCATCAAGTTTGGGTCTCCAACCTAATGGTTCTGTGTAAAGCTTCTGATAAAAAGAAATGATCCCACTACGCACCTCTTCCTCCCTCCACAACTCCACACCTTCCACACGTATACGTCCTATGTGATTTCTTCTTCTATGAACATTAGCAAGTCAGTGAAAAAATTTTGTATTACAATCTCCCCTTTTCAACCAAAGAGCCCGGGATTTTTGTCACCATGAAATCTCCTCCATGCTAGCAATCTCAGCAAGAACTGTCTGACAGGAAACTCTCCTAGTACAAAGAGATTCCACATCCCTGCCCACCTCCTCAAGACGATCAATCTCAGAAAATTCAGCAAAGACTCTATTCTTCCTCCAGTCAAGATTCCCAAAAACATCCTTATTCCACTGCTTAAGATCGAATTTGAGAGCTCTTAACTTCTGTGTTAATATGAAGCTGGGCGCACCTGTAACAATCGCTCCCTCCCACCATGATCGAACTTTCCCTTGGAAGTCCTCCACTCTCAACCACATATTCTCAAATCGAAACGGGGTTCTTCAAAAGCACAAACCCCCACAATCCAAAACCAAAGGAACATGATCAGAGGTAACCCTTTCTAATACCGCCTGAACAACATCCGGGAATATTTCTTCCCACTCCCCAGAGATCAAAAATTTGTCCGGTCTTGAGAGAGTAATTGGATCCCTACCATTAGGCCAAGTATAGGTTGCACCTTCCATTGGTAGATCAATGAGAAGATGCTCATCTCTGACGGGACCTGACAGAATTGAAATCCCCACCCAAGCACCAAGGGAGAGAACACAATCCTTGAACATGGCTTAGCTCCTCCCATAAAATAGGTCTCTCATTATCAACAACCGGTTCATAAACCCTAAAAAAGACCCATTGGAAATTATCCTCTTCCACTTTAAACTCACAGGAGACAGAAAATCTCCCCTTCCACACATCCATTCTAGACAATCATCTACTGTCCCACATAACTAAAATTCCACCCGAAGAACCTGTAGCATCCAAAGCCTCCCATTCCACAAACCTTCCTACCCACAAACTTCTAACCACCCCGTCAGTAATGGATGCCATCCAAACAAACTGGCCCCCCAGTTCCTTAAAGCTACCTTCACCACCCTCCTCTTATTCGGGTCATTGAGACCACGAACATTCCAAGTAATAATTCGTAACTTCATTAAAAACCAGATAAGATTAACTCCCCTCCCCCCTTCTTTAAACTCCTACTCCTTGTCCTTCCCCTTTCCTTCACCACCCCTTTCTACCCTTCGAAATTAACATCAAAGATGAGATTCTTGATCTCCTGAGCCCCTTTCCAGGACAATATGGGCCTCGTGTTCATGACTTCATTGGTAACTAAGATCTCTCTTCCTTCCACAATTGCTTGAAGAATAGATAAAGTCTAATCGTCATTACCTTCTGATGAGACTCCCAGCAGCTCACTAGTGACTCCAATATTGTCAACTACCCAATCTTTCCCCAAATCAGCAACCTCTTCATCAGGTCGCACCACAACCAGGGGTTCCTCCACTAAAATGTCATAATCATTCTCCAGCCAAGGTGCAAGCTCATTAGAGCATACCTGTTGGATAGACCCCAAACCATCAACCATCTCCTCTTCAATCTCTCTGTCATTCTCGTAAACAGAATCTGATTTTGTAACAAAGTCTCCCAATCCGACGAAGCTACCAACCTCATTCTCCTCATCCGCTGCAAAAGGCATGCATTTAAGGCCTTTCAACGCTACACTTAATTGAAGCTCTTTGAACAGAGCCACAGCCTCATCATTGGACAACTAAAAATGCAAGTCTCTCCCCACACAAACCGTAACCCCTTCAGACAGATCCTTAACTGCACAACCAGCAATATCCAACTGCCCAGAAAAAGCATACTCACAAATTTCCTTTTCTTCCGTATTCAACCCAATATCATGTTCAATATTCATAACTGACAGCCCACCCCTCTTCTCCGTTACATCAGCATCACTCCTCAACACCTCACAAGAAGGGGTAAAAAGAAGAGGATGGAGCAGTAAAGGGGCTCCGAGGAAGTGAAACTGAAGACATACCTGAACCGTTAGTAGAAATCCACTTCTGCTTTTCTTTTCTTGACCATCGAACTCCATGATGATTACTGTAAGAATCCCGAGACGGAAATCTAAATCTTCCCTTCGGCTGTGTAGTATCAGAAAAGAATGTAATAGAAATGTCGGCGCAATACTGAGAATGACGAAACCCCTTCTCGACAGGTCTTACATCAGCCGCGGCAGCAGAGAGATTCATCCATCTCCTCTTCTCCGACGAGTTCCAAAAAGTTGCAGAGATGTCGTTTAAACGACGACTCTGCGAGTTGCTAATATCAATGAGATAGGTGGGCTGGGCTTGGGATTAAGAAAAGAAATTGAGATCATGTTATTGGGCCCCATGTAACCTTTCTCTTTGGATTGCTCAGTTGTGGCCCATTTCGTAACTTATTAACTTCATGGTTGGGATTAGGCAAAGTATGTGGGCTGGACTTCTCATTCAGGAAAGAGACTGATAATTGGTTGCTGGGCCCCATTTAACAGCCCTCTTAATCTCTTGTGGGCCATGATGAACTGTTAGCCCATTTGTCTTAGAAGGCCCAGAAGGCCAGAACACGGTTCGGACCCACGCTTAGGCCCAACAGTGGCCATTGCATGAATGGCTCCATTAATACCACGATCTCGGCCACGTGGTTGGTAATCTTTGAAGCGGTCAAAACGAGAAGATGGTGGGCACTGATTAAGGGCGTGATTGACACGGCTCCTGGATCTGCCCTCTCTACTCGTTTCAGGCGCGTGGGCATGCAATCGACTCTTTCCTTTGAGGGCCTGACGGAACTATAAATTCCGGCAACCTCCTTTAATGATCGTTGCAGCATGCGGGATGCGGGGACTCTCCCCAACGCCATAATAAGACCTCGAGAGGATGCGGGGTGTGACTTCCTCTATCAAATTGACCTTAAAGGCCACTCGTTGGTCCTTAACAAAAACATACTCCGACATCACTTTTCCAGCAGAGACATAGAGGAGGATTCTCTCCCCACTCGCCGAAACGTCCGCCTCAACACCTAGAAATCCACCACATAAATTTCCGATTGCTTCGAATAACTTCCGATTGCACCAAGATGAAGGGGCAAACCAAACAACATCACCCTTCGTATTTCTCAATCTTTCACTACAGAACATCCAACCGCGAAGTACCAAATGTCGATGGATAACAAGGCTTTGCCCCATCTCTTCCTCCCTTCATCCAAAACCCTTAAAGCCTCGATCTCCGATGGAAAATAAGTCGTCGGGGAGGGAAGAAACTTTCACCCCCACTCGAAACCTTCCAAGCTTTCGTCGCCCACGCCTCAATCCCTTCAATCCACCCCACATCTCTATCAAAGCGACCTACCAGACATGATCGCAAAGCAGATTCTCGCTCCATGATGCTTTGATGATCAACCCTAAAAACCAAATCATTGCCTATAGAACAGCTTTTTGAAAAAATGGAGAATACCATGGAGGACACCTGGCGTATTCGTATACCCATAATATGTTCACTTAAAGAGTTAAAGGTCTCATGTATCAATTATGGACCTAATATGGGTCTCTCTTTTTTGTATCATCTATAAATTCAAATATATATATATATATACACATATATGGAATTCAATGTGTATTCATATTCATTAATGAAATGGATTTGAAGAAATTTGTTAATAATAGAAAGGAAAATGTATTGAGATTTAAAATTATGGTTTTGTATATGTATAGTATATTCATATACATTATTGGGTATTTTTGCAATTTACCCTTTTTTATTGAGGATAAAGGGGTCTATTGTGTTCCACATAAGGGCAATACTGGCATTCTACTAAATTATATAAATTCTACAAACAAAATCAAATCAACGTGATATTTGAGCGTGGAAGTGACATACCCCAAGCATAAGAATTGCAAACAAGGGCCAAGCTACTTACATGTGCATGATAGGCTGTCTGAAAATTGTATCTTAAAGTTCATTAGGTCATTCAGAAGCAACTTTCCTACGCAACAGAAAGATTTATATTCCTAGTTCCTTTTATATTTCCAATTGTCACAATACACTAATATAGTTAAATAATTTCCTTCCACAGGACAGGTCCAATCAAAAATGCCATTTCGGATTACCACTAAAAACAACTAAACGAGAGGTTTGAAATAGGGGAAAAGGCGAGGCTTCTTTAAGTAATTAATCAGTTTAAAGAACATCAGAAAGGCTTCTTTAAGTAATTAATCAGTTTAAAAAACATAATCATGGAAGAAAAATATGATGAAAAATATGATGACAAACCTTCCTAAAATTTCTCTTTTGTTCTTCAGAAAGGTCCAATTCTTTTTCATTTGCTATAGCATCCGCTACGAATGGATCACTAGGATTTCCATCAATGTCATCAATCTCCTCCACCTGACAAGAAACAGAAAAGATTAAAAAAAAATTAAAAGATCAACAGAGAATATCATGAAATTCAAAGTCAACTTGAATTGCAAATAAATCAAGGACACATTACACCTCTCTCCAGCATAAAACGGTAAACCTTCTAATTGAAAAAAATATATATGTGGGACCCTAGAAATGGAATCTCTCTAGTTTTTTTAGGCAGCAAATAAGGTCTTAACATATTTGAGTAAACCTGACATCAAAATTGTCAATTAATGTTTTCCAAACCTAGTGGACATAGAACGGTTCACTCATTTAGTTGTTACAGTTTATTTGAGACTTGAGTTGGACCTTCAGTGGTTGCTTTCATCATATGATTATAAGTTGGGCCTTCAGCATGACAGCGGAGTTTTATTACAGTGTTGTGGACGAGATTTGCAAGCAATGTGTGTTGCATATTGCAGCTGATAATACAATAGAAGCTGCAGCGAAAAGTTCGATGAAGTTGTATCCGATATTAGATAACCAGGTGAGGGAAAGATCTTTTGCCAATGCGTTTGACAATAGTGACCGAGTTAGGAATTTAAGAGTAAAAATGAAAAAATTCACAAATAATAATAAATGAGCTAAAAATACTTAATTTATCATTTAAAGAACTACACAATGGAATCTACTCCACAACAACAATAATTGTTTTCTAAACCAAAAATCTTTATTATTTTATGTTATGATCGTCATATTATTAAAAAATTCAAAGAAGTCGTCATATTTACACTTTAACCAAAATTTCTTTTTAACCCTTTCTTACGACTCCCAAACAATGCGACACTCATGCCGTACACATGTCCATGTCCACAACGTGTCTATGTCATGTCCACAACGTGTCTATGTCATGTCCACAACGTGTCCGAAAGTTAAAAAATCAATAAAATAAAAATAAAAATCCAGGCATGTATTTCTTAGCCCTTTTATGCATGTCCGTGCTTCCTAACAACTACCAGTACAGCGAGACGGCAAGCAGAAAAATTGAAGTGCATAGTATGTTACTATTCACAAAAAAATTGCAGTAAAAAAATTTGAAGCTTAAAATACAGATATTAAGTTTAAAAATTTGCAGTAATAAATTAGAGAACAAGAAGAGAAAAAATAATAATACTAAGAGGGGAAAAAAAAAGTTATTGTACATGCTTCATACATGAGTGAAAGAAGAAGAAATTTTAAGAAGAGGAAAAAAAAAACAAAAGAACAAGAAGAAAAAGAATTTAAAAAAAAAAAAAAACAAAAAAGGAAAAAATGAGAACTTTTATGTGAAAAATTAGGGTTTGATTGAAGAAAGGAAATGCAATTTTTTTAAAAAAGAATCAAAGAAACTTAAAGAATAAGAAGATTGAAAGAGAAAGGAAGGAAGAATTAGAGAGATTGAAAAAAGGGGGCATTTTGTAAATTTTCAAAACAATACATACATAAAAGTTAAATATATATGTGGATTTAGATTCTCATTGATAAATCATAATAAGAATATTTTATTTCAGATTTAGAAACATAAGTACACCTGCTCTCACATGAAAAAAGTGTATGTACACCTATTATTATAATAACAAATACATTATCCTTAGATGCTCTACGTCCTCACTCCTGAGTAATGTCTAGTGTATACTCACACAACAGGCGAACTGGCTACAGCAACACAAGAAAAATAGAGCCAGTTCCCTCAACTATCAAAAGAAATCAGTACTCAATAAAAAAAAATGCATACTCCTATAAGCAAAGAATCCACATTCCAGCAGGAATTTGGCTAGGTGACCAGATTCCAATAAATGAGGGGAAAAAAGGAATTAGTTTTTTTCTTTTGTGTTATAATGGGAGATCATATGGAAATGTATATTGGGTATTATATAGTACAACAAGCTTCGTCAAATTGGTTCAGAGGAAATAAATATTCTAGTTTCTTTAAAGTAATGAGAATTTCAAGAACTTCCTAACAAAGTAACTGAAAATATATCAATCCACATGAACTAATTTTGTTGATGTTAAAGACATTATGCAAACTAAAGAAACTTTAATATTTGCTCCAAAATCTGATCTTATCATTCAAACACTGTCCTTCATAGAATCCAAGAAACTATGTAGCATTGAGTCTACTAAATGCATACACAAAACACATATTATGAGTATGGATATGGGAAGTGTTTCCAACATGTTGCTATATAATTATACATAAAAAATAAAACATAAAAAAACTCTTATTATGTCCCTTTCATTACATATTTGCTCCAAAATGAGTGAAATGTGATACTAAACCCTCCATCTTACACAAAAAAACACCATTCTACCATGGTAAATAAAGGAACATTAAAAATATGAAAATTAGTTGCACTCCTATATCCTCAAATTTTTAAATTTGACAAATCCAAGCACTTAGACACAGACCGAAGTCCATATAGCATAGAAAAATTCCAACACACATGATGGGAAATGCAATACACAATTATTTGAAAAAGAAATGTCTGATACATGGGAGAATTTTCTGTTTAAACGAAATTCAGGGGAAAAAATATATGCTTAGAGGAAAATTTGCTATATTCTGATGCCACTTGTTTGTTGTGTGCCCCTGCAGGTCTCAACAGTCTCAAAACACACACACACATTCGCACAGAGGAATAGGAAGAAGAATAAAAAGAAGAAACCACTAATTCAATAATACAGAATGGACTTGTCCCACAATAGGGATTGTGGAGGTACGTTGCCAAGGGGCAGACTTTTCAACCTGGTCCACAGTCTGATTGTCAGAAACAATCAAGAACTGAGAAAAATTGGAGCAATCAACAACCATATCCTCCTGCTCTCTCTCGGTTGGACAGATTCCGTTTTTCTGGAGATTGGGAGGAGAAGTTTTCTGATGTGATTCAGGCTGCTTTGGCGCGTCCTACCTCTGACCATATCCCATTGGTGTTGGATTGTGGTGGGCTGCAAAGTAGAAGATACCCTTTCAGATTCGAGAATATGTGGCTTCGTGCAGAGGGCTTTCTTGACAGGGCTCTTGGTGGGAGGGATATGGGGTGGTTCGCACTCCAAGCCATGTCCTTGCAGGAAAATTGCATCTTTTCAAGGAAGACATTAAGAAATGGAACAAAGAGGTTTTCGGGAATCTGGAATGGAGGAAGAATCGAGCTTTGCCTGAGATTGCTGAGATTGATCGCTTGGAGGGACAAGACGACCTCGCAAAGTCTTTGAGGAGTAGGAAGGTGGAGTGCCAAGCGGAGTTTGTTGAGATTGCTATCATGGCGGAGATCTCGTGGAGGCAAAAGTCTAGAGCTTTGTGGCTCAAGGAGGGTGACAGAAACACGAAGTTCTTCCATAGACTTGCCAACGCTCACAAAAGGGTCAATCATATTGAGAGGATCCGGGTGGAAGGGGAGGTGCTATGTAAGGAGGAGGAGGAGGTTTGCAGGGATATCGTTGATTTCTATTCGAAGTTGTTCACAGAAACCTCTGGTTGGAGACCTTTGCTTGGAGGGCTTCAGTTTGACTCAATTTCTAGTGAGGAGTATTCTGGTTTGGAGGAGCCTTTTACTGAAGACGAAGTCTTGATCGCTTTTAAGAGTTGTAATGGGGATAAAGCCCTAGGTCCTTATGGTTTTTCCATGGGGTTACTTTTGGAGAGCTGGGAGGTGGATAGAGGGGAGGAGATGGGTACCTTTCACACTTTTCATGATCAGGGCTGTTTTAAGAAGAGTCTGAACGCCATTTTCATTGCTCTCGTTCCGAAGAAGGGGTTAGGGGCGTTGGATGTTCGGGATTTTCGTCCTATCAGTTTGGCTGGATGCATCTACAAGTTAATTGCCAAGGTTCTTGCTTCTAGATTGAGGAGAGTCTTGGATTGGGTCATATCCGACTCTCAAAATGTTTTTGTGGGAGGCCGTCAGATTTTGGATTCATCCCTTATTGCTAGCGAATGTGTGGATTCCAGATTGTGTGGTGGGGTCCCTAGTGTTCTTTGCAAATTACACATTGAGAAGGCGTACGATCAAACTGAGTTAGAGCTTCCTTCTCTATTTAATGGAGAGGATGGGGTTTGGTGTGAGATGGAGAAGATGGATTCAGTTTTGTATTTCCAGTGCTCGCTTCTCAATTCTTGTGGAGCTCCGACAGAGACAGGGGGATCCGCTTTCGCCTTTCCTGTTCCTTATCGTGATGGAGGCTCTTAGTAGATTGATGAGGAGGGATGTGGATTTGGGTTTTCTGAGAGGCTGTAGGGTGGGCAGGGATGCTTCTAGTCAGTTGGAGATCTCTCACTTGATGTTGCGGATGATACTTTAGTGTTTTGTGATGTGAACGTGTCCCAGGTGAGATATTTGAGATATGTTTTGATTTTGTTCCAAGTTATCTACGGTCTGAAGGTGAATGTGGGGAAGAGTGTTTTGGTGCCAATTGGGGAGGTCCCTGAGATCGCGTAGTTAGTTGATATCTTTGGATGTTGTGTTGGCTCATTTCCCATTTCTTATTTTGGTTTACCCCTTGGATCATCCTCGAGGTGTGTGGGGAGCTAGGATCCTGTCGTGAAAAGATTCGAGATGAGACTGGCTGGATGGAAGAAGCAGTACCTCTCCAAGGGTGGAAGGGTCACTCTGATTAAGAGCACCCTTTCAAGCCTTCCCACTTATTTTCTCTCTCTATTCCAGATTCCTTCTTCAGTGACTAAGAGGATTGAGATATTGCAGCAGAATTTTATGTGGGGGTTATTCGAGAGGAGTTCAAGTATCATCTAGTTCGCTGGGAGCAGGTGTGCAATCCGATCCAGGCCGGAGGCTTGGGTTTTAGAAGATTGGTGCCTTTTAATAAGGCTCTCCTTGGGAAGTGCCTCTGGAGGTTTAGGGTTGAGAGGCATAGGCTTTGGGGGAGGGTGGTAGCGAGTAGATTTGGGGAGGGGAGAGGACGGTGGAGTTCTCTTGAGGTGCGTACTCCAAGGGGTCTAGGGGTTTGGAAACTCGTTCGGAAGGGGTGGGATGGGTTCTCTAAACACATTAGATTTCGACTCAAAGATGGTAGGAGGATCATTTTCCCGGAGGACGTTTGGTGTGGTGATCTCTCTCTTGTTCTCGCTTTCCCCCAGCTCTTCAGGATTGCCACGGATAGGCAAGCCATGGTGGTCAAATGGTATCGGCTTGATAGCGGGAGATTGCCATGGAATGTTCATTTCAGAAGGCACTTTCAGGATTGGGAGATTGAGGACACCATTGGTTTTTTTGAAGTTGTTGTATCGCCAGGAGATCACGTGTGGAGTTTCTGATGGCTAGGTGTGGGTCCCTGCTTCTCAGGGTCGTTTTGATGTTCGGTCCTTCTATAGGTATCTCACGGAGAAGCCTAGGGCTCCTTTCCCGTGGAAGGCTGTTTGGTGCTCTAAGGCCCCCCTCAAGGTGCCTTCTTTGCTTGGACATTTGTTTTGGGGAAGATTTTGACCCAGGATAATTTGAGGAGAAGGAATCAGGTTGTGGTCAATTGTTGCTGCATGTGCCTTCGTGATGAGGAGACGGTGGATCACCTCCTTTTGCACTACACCATGGCCAAGGAGTGTTGGGATTTGATGCTTGGTTGGTTTGGAGTTTTGTGGGTCATGCACAGATACTCCAGAGGGTTGATTGAGGCTTGGAGAGGTAGTATAGTGGGCGGCCAAGTCCAGGATGTTTACGTCTTTGTGTGTCTGGTAGTGTATTTGGCTCGAGAGGAACAAGAGATCTTTCGAAGGAAAGGATAATCCTATTTTTATGCTTAAGTTCTCTATTTTTTCCACTCTTTTTTGTTGGGTTGTAGGGAGAAATTATAGATCTTTAGAGGAGATTGTTGTTTTTTTAGGCTCTTTGAATGTCTAGAGGCCCTATTTGGTCTTGTGTAGTTCTCTTGGGATGCACTCCCCTTTTGAGCACTTTTATACAATTTTACTTATAAAAATAAAAATAAAAAATTCAACACACCAAGCATTCAGCAGTTATGTGAAATAGGATGTGTCAAAAAATTCAGTACCAACAAAAGTAATATAAAGTCGCAGCATTACGGTCAAAAATGGTTGTTAAAGAAGAGTTGAAAGCAGTTCACTCATAAAGTATAAAAATAAATAAATAAATAAATAAATAAAAATAAAAAAGGGTCAAATACCTCACCTCATCGACTCCAGGGAATTTGAGTCCCAACGCTGCCGCTTGCTGAGGAGTACTGGCCAAGTAAACAGAAGCCCAATGCTTGCTGCCAAATGAAGTACTATCCTCTGATAAACTGTCAGAAACCATTTTGTTAAAAGAGCGCCACTCCACATCTGAATTTGCAGTCGCAGCTTCCTTTCTGTCACCAAGATCAAGTTTCTTTCCCAGAAAACCACTCGCACCTTCCTCCAATAATTTGCCATGTTGTCTGTGCCACAAAGTAGGTACCAACATCTGAAATTAATCTTGCATTCCAACAGAACTTATCATACCATAAGAGCAGAATAAGATACCTTCTCACAGGCCTGTGGACTTGGAGATACTTTTCAGCATCCATAACTGATTGAGTAACATCGCCTGTCGCCTGAGATCCTACCCAGTGTGTTCTTTTATTCCATGCTTCAGTGCAGCAGCCATTAGGAGCCTGACTTTCAATCCACTTATAAAGGCTTGGGAGTTCGATACCAGCACCATCAAGTTGTTCCTGTCCAGAGACGCACATTAACAAAAAGCAGCAGGAGTCAACAACAACTACATAGGAAAATGGAAAAGAGAGATAATAAACAGATGGCACAAACTAGTTACTTCTAACACAGACAACAAGAAATGCAAGTTGGGTATTCTAATCACATATAAATACACACGAATGTGATAGTGCTAATAATCTAATAGGGAAAGGGACACTGAAATTCCGAGTCGTGCAATCAAACCTCTTGTAATGCATGGTCCAAACATGGATTATACTCAAGCAACAGAAATAAAGGTCTGTTACAGATTTACAATTACCTCCATAAAATGATAAAACATTATTTTTTATCCAAAATGAAGAAAAGATAATTTCTGACTACACAGGAAACGAAGATTTTGATATCATCAACATAAAGTATCTGCAAAAGGACTAGGTTAATGGACTTGAGTTTTATTTGCTCTAGATGAAAACCAATACAGATTTCAATCAGTAATTCAAAACCAACAGAATGAAAGAAAAAGAAAGAAAACGGTATTTTAAAAAGAGAAACTTATTTTAAAAAGAAAAGAAAGAAAAAGAAAAGAAAAGGGCATTTTCAAATGATAATATACCAAAAACCGACAACAACAACTATAACCATATTACAACTGCCTTAACATTATCATTCTTCACCCCTCAATAATATACCAGGAATTATTTTTATTTGGCCAACCAATTAAATTAATGATGTAACATTGATAACCATCATATGGGCACCAAGGTTTAAAGCAGCTTTGTTCCAATATTTTAACAACGAAAATGCAGGTTCATGGATCATATAGTTAGTCATTTGACCAAGGTGATATTTAGCATGCAAGACAGCAATATCTAATCCAACAGTGCCCTTTGACAAAATATAACTCCACAAAAAGTTATTATGCAATGTAAGAATAGTTGTTCTTAAATAGGTTGCAGTCTGATCCTGCCTAACAACAACAACAACAACAATAGAAAATATAAGTAGCCTCAGAATTCATGCAAGATTTTGAAATATGAATCAAGAACCAAACTTCTAATCAGAATTGAAGAAAGAAACAGACCAACAAGTTAGCACTCTCTGTCTCAAGCTCATCAAGCACAGCTTCCCACTCTTCCCTGAAAATTGCCAATTCATCTGCAACAGCCTTCTCCAGCTATCCACAAGAGAACAAGCATCAGTGATTGGCATGAGCAATGAAACCTAGCAGAACGAGGCATAATGATAGAAAACTAACATCATCCCCATGGATAGAATTTGACAACTCTTCCCTAACTTCAATCTCTAACTTTGCTAGTGACTCGTCTTCGAGCGATTCTTGGGCCTCTGCAGCCTAAAATTAAGTGTGAGAGAACAAAAAGAAAATGAAAACTAACCAAAAAGAACTGTTATGATCATGCACAGATAAATTATACCTTGCTCTCAACTTCCAAAAGTTCAGAAATTAGTTCTTCTATTTCTTCCTCGGTCAAAGGCGCCTGCACAGAAACCCAGAATAAAATTAAGCATGTTAATTTGTCTGTTTAAATTGAAACAAGAAAACACAACATGAAAAGTATAGTTAACCCAATTCATCAAATTTAAATAATCAAGAGATATATTAATTGTTTCTTCTTACTTATCAAAAAAAAAAATTTAATAATCAAGAGATAAAACAGAAAGTATCTACATTCACTTGCCTCAAGACGCGATCTATCATCTTGTCCAGACGTTGATGGTTCATCATCATCTGAATCATCAATAAAAGAATCGCTAGAAGCACTCTCAACATCTTCCACTTCCTCATGCTTTTCCTCCATCTCTTCTTTAAGTTGCATTAATTCAATAATAACCCCCCAAAGCAATATCTAGTATTGAGAGCAACAATATTTGTAAAACAAAAGTGGGGAAGATGTCTTGTGCAAGATCCATAGCAAGTGCAGCAAATAGGTTCCAAACAAGGAAGACTTGTCACCAAAACTAGAAATTAGAACTGAACCAATCAATAATGTATCACAATAAAAATTTCAAAAAGTAACTCCCATTTAAGTTTTAAGTAGCACTCGTGGACACAATTACAAATGCGATTGCGGTGCAGTGTCGCAATCGTAGGGTGTAGCAGTACTGGCCCTTGCAGTTGATAAATTTTTCAACATTACAAAACTTTGTCAAAATGAACTGATGCATAATTTTTTACTGTAGAATTCAATAAAAATGTGATTTTAATGATTTTATTGAATATTTAATAAAGTTTTGAAATCATTGACAGCCTATAAGGTGCTACTAGAACTAAAAAATTGCTAATATCTGTTTAATTGATATTATTTTTTTATTTATTTGTTTCGAAAACAATTCATGCAGACTAAAATATGTGTAGTATCAAGAATGTACTTGTTTCTGATTTTTTATGATTATTCCAACTCGCTGTCTGTTTTTATTTTTGTATTAATTACTTTTTAAGATGAAATTATTTTGGGGGAGAAATTGTATATCTTTAGATGAAATCATAGATTTTTTAGGTTCTTTGGGTCCCTAGGACCTCTTTATGGCTACGGCCTTTGTACAGCCTTGGGGATGCAGTCCCCTTTTGAATGCTCTCTAACAGAATGCTTTTGTTGGCAGACGACAAATTCTTGATTCAGTTCTTATTGCTGGCGAATGTGTGGACTCCATATTGCAGAGTGGTATTCCTGGAGTTTTATGCAAACTTGATATTGAGAAAGCATATGATCATGTGAATTGGAATTTCCTACTCTATTTGTTACAAAGAATGGGGTTTGGAAGTAAATGGAGGAAGCGGATTGAGACCTGTCTTTCGTCTGTCAAGTTTTCAGTTCTTGTGAATGGTTCTCCCGCTGGTTTTTTCGGTTGCTCTCGAGGTATAAGACAAGGAGATCCTTTGTCATCTTTCCTTTTTCTTGTTCTTATGGAGGGGTTAGGTAGACTAATGCGCAGGGCAGAGGACCTTGGTTTTATAAAGGGATTCAGGGTGAGCAAAGATTTAGTCTATGGAGATTTCTCATTTACTCTTTGCAGATACCTTAGTTTTCTGTGATACTGATGTGTCTCAACTTTGATACTTGAGGTGTGTATTGACTTGTTTTCAGGCAGTTTCCAGGCTAAAGGTCAATGTGGCTAAGAGTGTGCGTGTCCCAGTAGGGAATGTTCAGAATATTTCCTCTTTAGCTGCAGTCCTTGGTTGCAGGGTGAGCTCATTCCCTATTCCTTATTTGGGCTTGCCCCTAGGGGTCTCTTCAAGGTTAGTGGGGAGTTGGGATTCCGTGATTGACAGGTATGCGACGAGATTGGCAGGATGGAAGAAGCAATACTTGTCAAAAGGGGGAAAAGTTACTCTTATCAAAAGTACGTTATCGAGCCTGCCCACTTATTTTCTTTCTATGTTCCAAATCTCTTGTTCCGTTGCAGATAGGATTGAAAAAATTCAAAGGGATTTCCTTTGGGAAGGAAAGGGCGATGAGTTCAAGTACCACCTTGTCAGATGGGAGGAAGTTTGTAAGCCTGTGAAATTGGGTAGACTTGGAATAAGACGTTTAGTTCCTTTCAATCAAGCTCTCTTGGGTAAATGGTTATGGAGATATGGGAGGGAAAGACATCGTCCATGGCGCAGGTTAGTTTCTTGTCGGTTTGGGGAAGAGGCTGGAGGTTGGTCTACACGTCCGGTTACCCTGGTGGGAGGAGTAGGGATGTGGAAGGCTATTCGGAAGGGATGGGATGTTTTTTTTGGCTCACATCAGATTCAAACTCCGTGATGGTCGTTGCATTCGGTTTTGGGAAGATCTCTAGTGTGGGGATCAGCCACTTTCTCGTACATTTCCTAAATTATTTAGTATTGCTATTGACAAACACGCCTACGTAGTTGACTGTTATCAGCTTGATAGCAGCAGGATTACGTAGGATGTGCATTTTCGGCGCTCTTTTCAGGATTGGGAGATGGACGAGGTATGTGTTTTTCTGGATCTTTTGTATCAGCAGGAGGGCGTTGGTAGAGGTAATGATGTTTTAATTTGGGCTCCTTCTTCCCACGGTCGCTTCAAAGTTAGATCCTTGTTCTTATGTTTGTCTAATTTTGTTAATCGAGACTTCCCGTGTAAAACTATTTGGTGGTCTTTGGCTCCAACTACGGTGGCTTTCTTTGTTTGGACCACTGTGTGGGGAAAGATTCTGACAATTGATAACTTGAGGAGAAGGGGCAATTGTATCGTTAATCGATGTTGTCTATGCAAGGATGATGAGGAGTCCGTTGATCACCTCCTTTTGCATTGTCCTGTGGCGAATGACCGTTGGAATCTTATTATTGGGTTGTTTGGCATGTGTTGGGTTATGCCACGATCTACTAAGGAATTAATTCATATTTGGAGAGGTTGTCGAGTGAGAAGAGACGTTCGCGATTTCTGGAGAATTGTAACACATTGTGTATGGTAGTGCATTTGGAAGGAGAGAAATAGCACAATGTTCGAAGGGAAAGAGTCGCTCACGGCAATGGTCAAACTTTACATTCTTCGTTCTCTTTTCAATTATGCAAAGTGGAGCTTTTGTTCTTCTTCTGATGATTTAATTACTTTCTTGGATTCTTTGGGGCCTTAGCCCCGGTTCCACTTTTGTAATTGGGACGCATTCCCCTTTTGAACGCCTTTTTTAATGTTATTTTTATTTATCAAAAAAAAATATATATATATATACTTTTATTTATCAAAAAAAAATTAATTACTTTTTAAGAAAAATAAATTTATGTAGACTAATATATGTATTCTAAAGTATTTATGTATAATAAACATGTATTTTTTTTAGTTTAATAATATACTCGTACTGATACATTAGAAAATAATCAAAACAAAATTTTCAAATAATTTGGTTAAAAAGTCAAAAAAAAAAAAAAAAACATAAAATTTAGAAAACAAATTAAAAATTAGAAAAATAAAAAATTTAAAAATAAATTTTAGACCATGTTTCCAAACTACATTAAACCCCCAAAAAAATGAAATAATAAAAATAAATGATTTGTTTGGTTGACTGAATGTAATTAATAACAAAATTTTTGCTTTACGCTTTCTTGTTTGTGTTCTTAATTTCATTTTATTCTCACAAATTTCTATTTACCATATTCACTTTGGTTTATGTTTCAACTTCTCTTGCATTTTGTTTTCCCATTGCCTTACTCAGAAATGCAGAATACCACCAAATTCTCTTCAACAAAACAATTAATCTAAAAGATATTCTTACCTCATGCACCTCGAGCAAAAAAAAAATTAAAAATGATGTCCAAATTATGGAGAGAGAGAGAGAGAGAGAGAGAGAGAGAGAGAGAGAGCAAAAAAGAACATAAAGTTTATATTTGAGTCAGGCTAAATTTATTGATGAATGATACTCTCTCTCACAGAAAATATATACATATGTTACACACTTATCCTGAGAAGCACGGATACAGACAGAGGTACAACAAGATACGAACATGACAATACAGCAAATTTCAAAAATAAAATAAAATTGGACACGGACACACCAGGGATATGTCAAAGAAATAATAACAAAATATATTATTATATATGAATTTTGCTAATTTTATCTACATTATCATGGACAAGGAACCCCCCCCCCCCCCCCCCCCCCGGGCGGAATTTTTTTTTTTTTTATAGCATTAATAGTAGTAAATTTTCTTATTTTGAATTACGCACCTATTAAATTTTCATATTGCCCCCCTTGAAATTACAAAAATATCCTACTAAGGCCCCCCTCTACATTATCATGGACAAGGAACCCCCCCTGGGCTGAAATTTTTTTTTTTTTATAGCATTAATAGTAGTAAATTTTCTTATTTTGAATTACGCACCTATTAAATTTTCATATTGCCCCCCTCTTGCCCTCCCCCCCCCCCCCCAAAAAAATTCCTAGGTCCGTTCCTGATCATGGATAATCTACAACTTCGAGCTAGATGGATGTTGATTTTGTATTCAAGCTTTATATTATTTTTCTAATCAACCCATAATATGTTTTAAAAATTATATTGGAAACCTTTTTTAATAAAAATAATTGCAAAACTACCCCACCGTGTCCATGCTATGTCCCAATAGTGTCCAACCAGGAAAAAAATAAATAAATATTAATTCCAAGACACTTCTAGCCATGTCAGAAATCTGTACGGCCGTGTCAAAGATGTGTCCCATGCATGTACATGTCAGACACAGCCACGGCAGCCATGTTGGAGTGTCCGTGCTTCCTAGGACTTATGTATACGAATACGTTTTTTCATGTTTACATCTTGCCACTGGCCTAAATGAGCATAAAAAATTATAAAGTACTTTACCAAAGGTCCATTTCACTTTTCAAGCATGCATCAACACACTATTTTTTCTTTTTTTTCTTTTTAGAGCCATTTTCTTTATCAATTCAGAAGGTGCAACCATGTGCAGCAAAGACCAAAACTATACTATTAAAGAAGATTGATATAGTCCACATTGAAGGTAAAATACGAAAATGGAAAGGACTTAACGTGAGTTGAAATAGTAAAATATATATATTATGGGGTAGAGGGTGATTGAAGTGCATTGTGATGTCAGATAGAGCAGAATGGAAAAAGCCAATTCATTACTCAACCACATATAGTTGGAACAAGGCTATACTGAGTTTACTCAAGTTGCATTACTTGCTATATTTTGACTCAAGGTCATTTAATAAAAGATGGTTGAATCCCAGTTGAAAAATATATTGAAGCCTAATATAAAAGCTTATTTAACATCAATTTCTAACCAATCTTCATTTGCCGTCTTCATCAACTGTACATTATCATTTGATTAATCCAGGGCCAAATTTTTTAAAACATGGGGTGTTAATTCCTTAGATAAAAATTCATAATCTAGTATTCAGATATAGAAACACAACAATTGCATTTCTAGATAAACCTGAATAGTTCGGGAAAACAAAAGAAAATAAACAGCTCTCTATACGCACATCTGTATCAGTCCACTGAAAATTCCTATAATAAATCATCTCCACCCGTCTTATTTTGGTTTAACTATTAATGTGAAAGAATCTCAGAGAACAAAATACTGAAGAAATCCTTAAATTCCGAAAACACAATAAATGTAAGAAAACCCATCTTGCATTTAGACAATTCATTGAATTCGTTAATAGCGCACTAATATGTGAACCCCCATCTGAAAATTTGAATGAAATACTAAAAAAGGACAGCAATGGCACATACCTTTTTCATATTTAGATCATTAACTACCAAAATCAAAAACCTCAATCTCCACGAAAACCCAATTAAGAAATACATAGAAGACAGTACTTTCGGATGACATATACCCTTTTCATATTTAGAGCATTAACGACAAAATGCAGATTAAAATCAAAAACCTCAATCTCAACTAAAACCCAATTAAGAAACATATATAAAAGACGATACTTTTGGATGAAACATAGTTGTTGGTTTCGTTTAACAGACATGCAATGAAAAATGCCGTTTAAGCCGAAATCTTGGTGAAGACTTACCGGACAGTCCAGTGGCGCTCCGAGTCGTTGCCGTTACAGGGACGTGATCTTCTTCTCCGTCGCCAGTATCATCAGCTTCTACGTCTGCTCCGTCGCCGTTTGCGGAATTATTTTCCTTCGTTTCCCTCCTCGTCCTATATTTGATTCCCTCCTCGTCCTATATTCGATTTGGTTTCAGAGGAGAAAGAGAGAGGAGCAAACGAAACCCCAACTCAACTCTGAACCTTTTAATTTCGTATTGGTATGTGAAATGTGATTTTGTCTTTTTTTTTTTCTTTTTTAAGTGAGATTTAATTGCTACGTGTCATCTGATATTATCATATAACTACTATTAGCATAAGTTTGACATCCATATTTCTTTGATGGAAATCCAAAAATTATACCCTGTGATATAAAGGGGGTCAAAATATATACTCGTATATATATATATATATATAAAAGGATCCCAATCTTGTGTTGGTCAATGAATTTGAAATAATTGGTAATTTACACATATAATTATATAATCCTCTCATCTCAAAACAAATAATTAAAGTCAAAATTTATTTATTTTAAATTTTTAATCAAAATATTGTATACTTTTACATTATTATTTGTGTCGGTTTCCCTTCACTTCAACTGTTAGATCAAGAGAAGCCTTCACAAATCACAATGTCTCGATTTTCTCCTGATAACTTTTTATTTCTTTTTTTTTTTTTGCATCAATCCTCTATTAATTCTTCTTTTTATTTTCTTTCAGTTAATTTTAGTCACACCTTCTGATTTAATCAACCCTTATTTTTTAATTTTTTTTTTTGCATCAACCCTCTATTAATTCTTCTTTTTATTTTATTTCAGTTAATTTTATTTATACCCCACTCAGGTTTAGTCAACTCCCTCAAATTTAGTCAAATATCACATTAAAATAACTTTCGAAAATTTGTATCAATTGAGTTCCATTTTACATTTAGTAAAAGACACAGTTAAAAAAGTACAAAAAGACAAATATAACCTAATTTTTTAATACCTTTTATTTCAGAATATCAACAATTTGAAAGGTCATAATTACCCTCGTTAATTACTCTCCCCTATGTACACACTCCTCTCTCTCCCTTTTGCTGGATCAACACTCTAATTCCACCATTTATATATATTTGTTTGTATATGTGTTTGAGTTTTACTAAATTTAATCAGTTTTGAGGGAAAAAATGAATTCAGGAGAAAGAGAAAGTAGATTCTTTATTTTATGTGCTTGAAGCAGACTTGGCTCATAGTCTATCATTTCACTGTAGTTTTCTTAATTGTTACTTTTTTGGTGATATTGTTTGAATAATTCCTTGCTTTTATGAAATTTACGTGTAATTTTTGCTGTTTAATTTTTTTGCCCTTATTTCATTTTACTTGGTATTTGGTACTAACTCTCATTATTATGGACGCTCTTGCTACCTTTATTTCTAAATCTATTATGGATGAGATGGCTCACTAATTAATTTTAATTCCATAAAATTTACTAGTGAACAAGGCAAAGGAAGAACAGTCCACACAAGTTCTCTAGAATAGGTCATTATACAAATATTTTGAGCATAACCGTTCAAGAAGAAATTCATAGCCATGGACATTCCAAATTTTCATAACTAAGGAATCAACATTTCCAAATGAGTGGAGATATTTTCAGGAACCGGTTTTATTAGAGGAAAAACTGTGTATGTCAAATTTTGGTACAAAAAAATAAATAAATAAAATAAAAATAAAAATAAAAAACACAGGCTTTAGTGCTGTGTAATTAGAATTACATCAACAATTTTACATCAACTTCAAAAAATAAAAGATTTGAGAGTCAATTATATAGATGAAAATCTATTAATGTAAAACAATATTCCACTGTCTGTGTTTTCCAGTAACATTTTTCTACTAAGATAAGGCTCACACACATAAAAAGCAATAACTAATTGTGGTGTTATACTTACAAAGTAAAGGGTATTCAAGTCATTTCAACCTTTTTTTTAAGTTAACATAGAGTTAAAGGAGTAACAATGTCTTTTTATATATAAAAATTGGTCTCACACCGCTAAAAAGTAACGGTGAATTTCAGATTTCCTTCTATTATGGACTTAGGAGAGATTCGTGTGTATAATATATTCTGAAAGGGTTCAAACAATCCCACCACCTCCCTTTATATAGTAGTAGAGTTCTAATTAATCAATCTCCTTGTAACACAAATTCATCTTTGATCTACCGCTTGCAAATTATAGGAGTTTGATTTGATAGGTTTATCATTAATGTTCCTTGATTTCAAGTGAGTATACCAATAGTTTGCTAGCTCCTTACCCTATTAGAATAACTATATTAATTATTTATAACTCCACTCTAAAGAAAAAATTGTACTCAATGATATGAATAATTTTCATTAATTATAATCTAGTCCCAATAGTTACTTAATACCATAAATTGGTCCATCATGGTAATTAATTAGGTAATTGAATAAATATTATCAATGGATCCAATGTACTAATTAATCTATATTTGGTTACCTAAGTTTATTCATTTGATCACATACATTTAATAAATAAAATCATATATTAAATATAACTGATCATATTTATCGTGATCAAATCAACCTAGCCAAGTATACTTTCACACGTGATTTTCATCTTAAAAAGTACGTTTTGCAGCATTATATTAAAATTTATCCAAAGTACCCGCGTGTGCTGGCCCACAGGTCACTGGAGTTTATAAAACCAAATATTAATATCATCGTAGTCAATTTAGCTCTTAGGATTGAGAGCCAACACATTTGGTTAAGAATCACCTCATCCAAATGATTGAGATAAATCACTCAATTTAGTATTTCCATCGAGTTAGAAACCAACGATTACACTCATAAAATAGAATTAGGGATGGCAACAGGGTGAGAATAGAGCAGGTTTACCTAAATTCGTTCTCGCTCCGTTTAATTATGGACAAAATCATACCTGCAACGGGTTTTAATTTCACAATTCACACCTACCCCGTTTACCTGCTCGCCCCACCCAGTTTACGTTTTTTTTTTTTCTATAAATTTTATACAATGCAAATAATGATATATATAGTAAATAATGATATATATATATATGAACAAAATAATGTGCGTACATTTATAACACACACATATATATAATATTTTTTTTAATAAAAAAAACAAAGTATAAAGAGCGGGGCATTTTTCTCAAAATCCCTACCTATGCTGTAACCTGTCGGTGTGTAACAGGTGGGGCGCTTGCCTATTTACCCAAAAGTTTGAACTATTGGGTAATATTGCATACCCCTACCCATTTATACATTCTTCAATCCCCATCCAAATCCGATGTGGGACAAGTTTCACTTGTAACATTCTCCCCCACCTGAACCCGCGCAACGCCATCATTGCGGTCGGACCGCCCTGCCTACTCAGGGACAGACCTGGACGCCCTACGGGTTGGGCGCTTGGCGTGACACCGGATTAAGGATTGGGTCTGATTTTGATACCAACTGTAACGGGTGGGCGCTTGTCCATTTACCCAAAAGTTCGAACTATTAGGTAATGTTGCATACCCACTCATTTATACACACTTCAACCCATATCCAAATCCGATGTGGGACAAGTTTCATTTGTAATATCGTGTCATTAGGGGCAGGACTTCGGTGGGGCTATACAAATTGTCATCCTAAATAAAATGCTCAATTCTATTCATTTGCCAACAAATATCAATAATTACGAATGCCTATGAATTTATATTTCTTATACACGAGTTTTTACTTTACGTGCATATAAATTCATTCCATCATAATTGATAAAAAATTAGATCAAAAACTCTTTGAAGTACTCAACATAATAAATTATCAATATTGTGTGAAGATAAATAAATAATACTTCATTCAATAAATATCAGATTATAATCAATGACTTTGCGAGGCACACACAAACCCTAACATATACATCAGTTTTTTTGTGCGAGCACTAGTAAGGATGGTTCAATTACATTAGAGTGTAAAGTATGTTGTCAAGAGAAGTAAATTACTTCAGTCCACAATTTATCTAAGTATTGCTGGAGTGACAAGTTCGTATTTGTATTTAATGATCTAAGTAAGAACTTGCTAAACCAATTCAGGTCATATGGGACAATGAAGCAAACACTACAAACGCCAATATTATCAGCAGTTTCAAATTTTTTTTTTTTTTTTTAGCAGTTTCAATTTACGGGGGCCTTTGTTTTCTGCTAAGTGCCCTCCCAAAATATGAAAATAATAAATAAAAATTGACTACTCAACCCTTAACAGGCTCCAAATTGTACTATAGTCTATAGTTGGTCTCATTGTGTTGCGCATCTGTACTGATGTCCAAACATTTTATTTTATTTTATTTTATTTATTTCTTTGGCAAATAACATAGTCGGAATTTTAATCTTTCACTTTATTTAAGGGAATACTAAGGGCATGTTTGGTAATAGTTTTTATTTCATATTTTTTGCTTTTATCCGTCAATATAAGCAGCGAAGCAAAAACATAAAGCGTGTTTGGTAATGTTTACTGTAATTTGAATAATACCAAAGTGCTTATGAAAAGACGCCAAAACTAGAAGGAAAAATTTGATACTTCTCTAGTTGCTTCTGTACTGTAGTAAAAGTAAAAAAAAAAAAAAAAACTTTAAAATGACATTTTTAACTAGTCATTTAATTATTTAAACTTGCAACACTTTTATACCAAACATATTTTCATGTTTTTGATTTAAAAAATCTTGCAACAAATATTCGTTACCAAATAGGTTTCTAAATAGTATTGAACACACGTACTTTAAAGTATAAACATTATTTCTACTTCAGGTCAAAGCAAAAAAAAAAAAAAAAAAACAACTATGGTTGCCAAACGGGGCCTAAGTTCTTATTTTATACTTTTGAAGTACATGTGTTCAAGATTTCTAAATAGTATTGAGCACACTTACTTCAAAATATAAACATTACTTCTACTTAGGGTCAAAGGAATAAAACAAAGTAACTGTGGTTGCCAAACGGGTCCTAAATTCTTATTTTATTGAGTTTTTATAATAATTTTTTATTTTAAAAATTGACAATAAAAAAATCATACAATTATTTTTTCCTTTTTTCATTGACGGTATTTAAAAATTATTTTACAAAAATTTAAAAAATAAATAAATAAATCTATTTTCAGAAAAATATCTTTTTTTATTTTTAGTTTTGACATTCCTTGACTCATACTTGAATAGTTCAGTTCACCTTAGATCCCTTACTATTTAATTCAGTAGGTTCTTAATTTACTTAATGAGATATTCCCTATACTAGGGAAAAAAATATATGCAAAGTAGGTCCTTAAGTACATGTCTTGAAAAT